TGTCGATTCTAGACGAGCATTAGATACAGCGTTCAATTCTACACAGAATGACACCAGATTCGAGGGATTATCCGCCATCACTTCATCGCGCTTTTTGTGGAACAGAAGGAGTGTCGAGCCGACGTCGCATTTTAATACAATGGGTGCGTCCAGGGCGGCGTGCGATGTGTGCATATTTATTGCTTTTGCCAACAAGCAAGGCAATAGTAAATTCAATCTAGAATCATGTTTGGTACTAAATTTAACCGGCTATTCAATGCTACTAATCAATCGAAGAATGAAAATAACATCTCGTCGCAGATTTCAATTTGCTTATTCGTTAATATTTCTCAGGTTACCCATTCGGCATTGCTGGCCTGACAACAATAGTCTTCGAGTTCGCACCAAGTTTTCATATCGATGCGGAAAATGAAATGTCTTTTCTAGATGGCTGTGCAATAAAGCATTCAATTCTACACAGTATAGCACTGTTGAAAAGGATAAATCGGCTATCACTTCACCGCAGTATTTGTTGAACAAAAGGATGTTATATAGTTTCGCGAGGGGAATGGGGCCCCGCCACGAACGATGTATGCCGTTCGATTGTTTGCTGCTAATAAACAAGGGAAAAGTATCCTGGTTCTACATATGGAATCACTTCCTAGATTATGTTCTACGGGGTGTCAAATGATATTAGTTATTCGAAGAACAAAAATGATATACCGTTGAAGATTTTATTTTCCCTACATACCTATCGGAATTCGAACGCTCATAGAGCATTATACTTGACAGACCTGCAAATACAAAGCCTGGCCAACAAAGCACCATGAATCTCCAAATAAAGACAAAAAGAAAATGAAGCCTGCGACCAGATACCATTCTCATTCTTGTAATAATTAGCATCATTGAATAGCTAGCAAAATTTATTCCAGGACACAATTCTACATACCAATTATTGTTATGTTTGTTGGCAAGAAACATCAGTCGGCATATATTCGCACGCGGGACCCGCCAGGCTCCCGTCACGAAAATATGCTACATCTTATTGTTTCACAGAAGTGCGGAGGAGTTCCATCATATTTTTCCTTTTTAATAACATTATACTGCGTAGAAATTAGTGCTTTATCGACCAGCTGTCTAGAATCGACATTTTATTTTGCACGTCAATAGGAAAACTTGATACTGAAACTCAAAGTTTATTGTTGTCAGGCCCAGCAATGCCGAATGAGCCGCGAACTATGAACAAGAAAGTTGAAGGCTGCAACAAAACAGCGTTCTTGTTCTTCGAATAATAAATAGCATTAGATAGTTCAACAAATTTAGTATCATGCATGATTCTAGATTCAATTTATCGTTCCCTTTCTTCTTGGCAAAAGCAACAAATCAGCACACAGTACACGCCGCTCTGAAAGGCTCCCATTCATTGCGTTAATATGCAATGACGGCCCTTCTGTTCCACATTGTATTCACATTGTATTCACATTGTTTCGGAACTTTCCCCAATCGACTTGGGGCTATTACAGTTCCAAAAGGATCGGTAACAGCGAAAAACAGTGGCGTCATCACATCATACATATAGTGAGCACAACACAAATGCCGCAGCCTTAATCAACATAACGAAAAATGATAATAATAATTGCTAACAATTAAATTGCAGGTTGCACGTTGAATGTAACATACAATGGGATGGTTGTTCGAGATGTTCACAGCCACATTCAAGTACACTAACATACATGTCATCAAGAACGCAGGTATTTAGATTGTCTGTACAGGTCGGTCACATATATGGCTCACTAACTTGCTAGCAAACGTTGGTATTGGCAGTAGTGTCAGATCATGAGGCAGAGCATTATATTGTCGGGGTGCGCGACTACAAAAACGTCTCCGGCCCATTTCTGTACAGGACATAGGTACCTGCAGATTGTTATTCTGCCTAGTATCGCGGTCGCGAATGTCCGACCTCAAAATGAGGTTGTCGGCAAGCGTTTTAGGCACTCCCGTGCGACGCACTTTGTGAGCCATACACAGAGTATGGTACTCGACAAGCTCACTGGCTTTAAGCCAGCCTAATTTATGTAATAAGTCAGACACGTGATCAAATTTCTTGCGTCCAAAAATGACTTTAGCCGCATAGTTTATGACTTTTTGGATGCGATTAATATTTTTGCGCGTACCATTACCATAAACAGACAAACAATAACGGATATGTGAAATGACTAACGCATCAACCAGTATCGAGATTACTGACGGCGGCAGGTGACCCCTCAGTTGCGCTAATCCGATGAGGATACCAAAACAACGCTGAGCGATTGATGAGACGTGCGCATCCCAGCTGAGAGTACAGTCAAACTGGACTCCAAGGTTTCTGGTCTCCGAGACGGGAATCAGAGTACAACCATGAAATCTAACAGTGCCATTAGGGGGATCGCGCATGTTCTTAGGACTTCCAAGTAGCATCAACTGTGTTTTACCAGCGTTTAGTTTGAGTCCGTTGGCACGAAACCACAGCCCTATGCATTCTAGTATTCGTTCTAATTTGCAGGTTACTTTTTCGAATTCGTCTTTTCTGCCACTGACTAAAATCTGCGTGTCATCCGCATACTGAACAATCACTGCATCTTCAGCAAACAAACTTAGATCATTAGCAAAAATACAATACAGAAGTGGACCTAAGGCCGAGCCCTGGAATACACCGATATCATTAGGGAGGGGTTTGGAACACTGGACAATTCCTTTGCTGTCGGTAAAACGAACACTTTGAGTGTGACCACAGAGGTAGCTAGAAAACCAGGAAATTTCGATCCCATGCAACTGCAGCTTTGTTAGAAGTTTAGAGTGATCAATCACGTCAAAGCATTTACTTTAGTCGAGCATGCAGAGAAGTGAAAATTCTCCCTTGTCGTTAGCAGAAAGGATGTGATCAGAAATGGTAAGGAGAGCTGTTTCGGTTGAGTGCCGTGGACGAAAGCCGTGTTGCGAGGGAGAAAGAAGATGGTTATAAGACAGGTACCTGTACACTTGTTGGTGAACAGCGCGTTCAACAATTTTTGCGATAACGGGAACTATCGAAATCGGCCGGTAATTACAAGGCTTTGACGACTCTCCTGATTTATAAACAGGAAAAACAAGGGAGTGTTTCCAAGAGGATGGCACCTCGGAAAGGGAAATGCTAGAGTTAACTAAATGAAGAAGCACATAGCCGATTGCATCGAAAGCCATGCGGATCATTTGAATATTGATGCCATCTTGGCCACATGCGTTTGATCCATTCATATGAAAAACAATATCTCTCAGCTCAGAAAGTTTTAATAAACTTGGTTTGAAGGCGCAAGCCCCGACTCGAGGTAAACGGCATGGTATGTCAGTGGCCGGCCCCTTATTCCTCACCTCGTTGGCCACACGAGGGCCCACACTAACAAAATACTCGTTAAGCTGATCGGCCGTCAGGTCGGGTAGTATGCGTTCAGCTTTTTTAGAGCTCACAACAGATCTAATTTCCCGCCAAGTGGAATGGGGACCCTGGTCACAGATGCGTTGTTTAATGTCAAGGCGTCTATCACGTCTGATGGCTGACCGTACTGACCGGTTCAATGCCTTATACTCGGTCGAGCTGTGACCGCCGGCGTTTAGTGCCACTCGACGGCGAGTCATAAGCTGTTTCGTCTGATCACTAACTGGAGGTGCATTCGAATTTCGTATGCGAATAGTGTTATAACGTGAGCTCTTTATTCACAACCAAAGCCGCATTGCGTTAAACTTCCTAGAGCGCCAAACACCGATCGCTACTACCACAACCGCGCTCCGCGCGGGCCGGCGGCCGACTGCTCTCGAACCCCGCGTCTGCGCGCCGGCGCCGCCAATGGCGTCGCCAGGCCCCCGGGCAGGGGGGAGCAACTGGCGTCGCCAGGCCCCGGGGCAGGGGGGGAGCAGCTCGCGACACCACACCCTGCCGCCCTTAAAACGGAACACATTCACTTTAACCTGCCGCCCTTAAAACGGAACACATTTTAAACCGGGACGTGGAAACAAACACATTACGCGTCGGAACGTGGAAACAAACACATTACGCGTCGGAACGTGGAAACAAACACATTACGCGTCGGAACGTGGAAACAAACACATTTTAAACCTCGGCGATCAGTCGCCTCGGGCACCTCCGGCGCCGAGCGGAACGGCGTTGCGAGGGGCCCTCAGTGTCCCCGCCGCCCCTGCCGCCGCCGTCACCGCCACCGCCGGTGTGACTGTAGCCGCTGAGGTCACCGGTATCACCGCCGCCGCCGAGGTCACCGGCACTACCGCCGCTGCTGACGGCATCACCGCCGCCGCTGAGGTCACCGGCACTACCGCCGCCGCCGGGGTCACCAGCACGGCCGTAGCCACCGGGGTCACCGGCATCCCCGCCGCCGCCGAGATCACCGGCACGGCCGAGGCCGACTGCTCCCCGGTCACAGGCCTGACCGGCGACGCCGGCGCGGCTGCCGTCACCGAGGCCATTGGCGCGATCGTCTCCGACAGGGCGCCCGGCGCTGCCGCCGGCGCCACCAGCCCGGTCACCGCCGGTCGTCGCTCTGACGTCACCGCCGGTCGTCGCTCTGGCGTCACCGCCGGTCGTCGCTCTGACGTCACCGCCGGTCGTCGCTCTGACGTCACCGCCGGTCGTCGCTCTGACGTCACCGCCGGCCGTCGCTCTGACGTCACCACCGGTCGTCGCTCTGACGTCACCGCCGGCGCTGTTCCCTGGGTCCGCCGCCGCCGCCAACAGCTGGTCAACGTGGCGCGACCAGATCACGTGTCCCACGTCCACTTCATACGACACGGGACCGGGGCGGGCGACCACCGTGCCGCGGACCCACTTCTGACGACCGTCATACGAGCGGGCCCACACTGTAGCTCCCACGGCGAATTCCCTGCTCCGTCCGCCGGCCGTCTCACGCTGCCGGTCCCGAGCCGCCTGCAGAGCTGTCTCGGCGCTCGGGACCATGAGGTTCATACGAGTGCGGAGGTTCCGCCCGAACAGCATCTCAGCGGGAGTCCGTGCGGTCGCGGCGTGGGGCGTCACTCTGTACGCCATCAGAACTCGGGCGAGCGCCAGTTCCATGCCTCCGCTGTCGTCTGCTGCCAGGGTCGCCTTCAGTGAGTTTTTTAGCGAGCCGACCGCTCGCTCCGCCATCCCATTAGACGATGGGTGATGGGGCGCCACTCTGACATGTCGGATCCCGTTAGAGCTGGCGAACTGGGCGAATTCCTGGCTCGTGAACTGTGGGCCATTGTCCGTTACCAGCACCAGTGGTAGTCCGAGACGAGCAAAAACCGTCCTCATCACCGCTACGGTCCGCTCGGACGTGGTCGTCTTCATTGGGATCATTTCAGCCCACTTGGAGAAACTATCCACCATCACCAGGAACCAGGTGCCCTTCAGAGGTCCGGCAAAATCGGCATGCACCCGCTGCCACGGGCCGTCCGTCGGCTCCCACGGGTGCCGTGTCGCCTGCGGCGGCTCAGCTCGCTTTGAGACGCACGCCTGACACCCGCGAGCCAGCGCCTCCAGCTCAGCATCGAGTCCCGGCCACCACACAAAGCGCCTCGCCAGCTGCTTCATGCGAGTGCAGCCGAAGTGACCCTCATGCAGCTCCCGCTTGACGGTGTCGCGCAGGCTGCTCGGGATGACGACTCGGCCGCCCCAGAGCAGACAGTCGGCCTCAGTCGTCAGCTCCTCTCGGCGATTCTTGAAGGGAGCCAGGTCCGGGTCCACCACCGCCGGCCAGCCCGATCGCACCGCCGCCAGAGCGCGGGCGAGCGCCGGGTCTCGGCGCGTGGCCACTGCTATCTGCTGCGCGGTCAGACACGGCCCCTGCTCGGCGATGAACATTACGCCGCCTCCGCCGTACGCCGCCTCCTCTTCTGCCGACAGCCGGTTCTCCGCCTCGTCCGGCACCGACAGACGGGACATCGTGTCCGCCAGCCTCATGTCCTCCGTCCGGCGCAGCTCGATCTTGTACTGATACGCCGCGAGCTGCAGCGCATACCTTTGCATGCGAGCCGCCGCCAGAGATGGCAGCTCACGGTCCGGGTTTAGGATCCTGGAGAGCGTCCTGTTGTCGACCACCAGGGTGAACGGCCGACCAAACAGGAACTGGTGGAACCGCCGCACTCCGAACGAGACGGCTGCGGCTTCCCTCTCCACTTGGGCGTACTTCCTCTCCGTCGGAGTGAGCGTTCGGGAGGCGTACTGTACCGGCCTCTCGAGCCCCTCGGGCGTCACTTGCATCAGAGCCGCTCCGACTCCTGTCGCACTGGCGTCCGTGACGAGCCGCAGCGGCAGCACGGGGTCGTACCGCATCAGGACCGGCGCCGTGGACAGCATGTCCTTCACACGGCGCACTGCCGCGGCGCACTCCGCCGTCCATGCCCATTTGACGCCCGTCTTCAGTAGCGCGTAGAGCGGCGCTAGCACGGTAGACAGGTTGGGCAGCAGCCGCTGATAATAGCTGACTGACCCGATCAGAGATCGCAGCTCCTGCACGTTCCGAGGGTCAGGTGCTGCTGTGACGGCCGCCGTCTTCTCTTGCACCGGGCGCAGACCCGCCTCAGACAGTCGCCAACCGAGATACACTACTTCTCGGACTCCGAACTGGCACTTCTCTTTCTTGAGGCGGACGCCGTTGTCCTTCAGCCGCTCCAGCACCCGGTCCAGCCTGTCCATCAGCTCACGGTCACTGTCGGCGCCGATCAGCACGTCGTCCAGGTAACAGACGACTCCTGGAAGACCATCCAGCACCTGGTCCATGATCGCCTGGAACTGCGCTCCACAGGTGCTGATCCCGTACGGGAGACGGTTCATCCGCATCGCACCACGGTGTGTGGTCACGGTGGTCATGTCTCGGCTCTCTTCGTCCAGCTCACACTGGAGATAGGCGTTCCTGCAGTCCAGCTTGCAGAACTTTTTCCCTCGTATGCTGGCGAATAGCTCCTCCGGCGTGCGCATCGGATACTTCAGAGGCTGCAGCTGCGGGTTCACCGTGATCCGATAGTCCGCGCACAGCCGCACGCCGTCCTTCTTGGGGATGGGTACGAGCGGCGTACCCCATCCGGAGAAGTGTCCAGGAGGCACCTTCTCGGCGATCCCTTGATCCAGCCACTTGTCGAGCTCCCGCTCGATATCTTGCTGTAGCGCAAACGGCACCGGTCTGGCGCGTCGATAGACCGGTTTGGCGCCTTCCTTCAGTCTGAGCGCCACCTTCACCGGGATTCTGCCCAGTTCTTCTTTGAACACCTCACGGTGTTTGTCCATCACCTCCTTCAGCGTCGGCTGAGTCGCCACCGGGCACACGTTCAGCGTCTCCAGACCCGACGCCGTCCTCAGCGCCTTGATCCACTCTCGTCCCATGAGAGGTCGGTGAGAGCCCATGTCGGACACGACGAGTCGCAGCCGTGTCGCTCGGCCGTCCGTCTCCACGTTGACGTCGGCCTCGCCTCGCAGACGGATTTGCTGGCCGGTGAATGACGTGAGGTGCAGCTCACTCGGCCGCAGCGTCAGACCGGGGATGTGAGTCTCCGCGCTGATTATAGTCACCGGTGAGCCAGTGTCGATCAGCATGGTGAACTCCTGGCCGTTCACCCTGACCGTCGCCCACTCAGCTGCGGCTGGCTGCACGGCGCTGACTTGCCAGTCAGCCTGGTCGCCGTCCTGAACCAGCTTCACGCCAGTTCGCTGTTTGCCGCAGTCACGCTGCAGATGCCCACGCTCTCCGCACCGATAGCAGCGCGGCGCGCCGGCCCGCCATGGCCGCGCGCCGGCCTGCCGCGGCTGCCCGCTGTCCTGCCGTGGCTGCCCGCTGTCCTGCCGCGGCTGCGCACCGTCCTGCCGGGGCCGCGCGCCGGCCTGCCGCGACTGCGCGCTGGGACAGTGGCGCCGCCAGTGGCCCCGGCCGCCACAGCGGAAGCACGTGCCTGGCCCCGGGGGCTCGGTCGGCCTGACCCTCTCCGTCCGCTGCGGGCGTCGCACCAGGTGAACTGCCTCCCCGTCCGTCTCGGCCGGCGCCGGCGCCCCTGACAGCCGCGTCGTCAGATCCATCACGTCCCTGTGCGCCCGTGCCGTCCGCCGGACGTCCTCCAGAGAGAGGTCGTCACCCTTTAGCGCCGCCTCCCGGACCAGCTTCCTCTGTAGCTCACCTCGGCTGCCCAGGACGCATCGGTCTCTCAACTCACGGTCCACCTGCGCCGGCTCGTAGCCGCAGCGCAGGATTTGCGTCCGTAGTCTGCCCAGGAACTCCTCCAGACTCTCTTCCTGCTCCATTTTCATCCCTTGAAACTTTCCTCTTTCCGCCACCACATTATTCTTCGGCACCAGATACCGTGTTAGCTTCCTTTTCAGGCGAGCAAACTCGTCTTCTCCCTGTCTCTCGGCGTCCTCCTCAGGCAGTGAATCGCTGACATCGGCGAGGTCCGGGCCCACCAGGTGCAACAGGACTGCACACCGTCTCGCAGGCCCTTGAATGTCAACAGCGATCATATACCGCTCCAATGCCCGGAGCCACTTTTCAAAGTCCGTGCCTGGACGGTACGGCACCGCAGACACTATCTGCATCCCCGTTGGATCCATCGTGCCGCCGCCCTCTCACCAGCACGTCGTTTCTCCGGTCGGCTCGCCGCCGCTCCACCGTCGGCCCGCAGCCGCTCCACCGTCGGCCCGCGGCCGCTCCACCGTCGGCCCGCAGCCGCTCCACCGTCGGCCCGCAGCCGCTCCACCGTCGGCCCGCGGCCGCTCCACCGTCGGCCCGCGGCCGCTCCACCGGCGGCCCGCAGCCGCTCCACCGGTCGGCCCGCAGCCGGGCGTCACCGCTCACACCGGCCGGTCACCGCTCACGCCGGTCGGTCACCGCACACGCCGGTCGGCCACCGCTCACGCCGACCGGTCACCGCTCACCGCGCCGCCCTGCGCCTGTACTTGGCGCTGCAGCTGCGGTTTCCCGCGCTTTTCTCGACGGGGGCGTCACGTGGTAGTGACGTCACACGCACGTCACCGCGCGCGCATGCGCACTCGCCCCACACCGCCCGGCCGCGCGCCAGCTTCCCGCCGAAATTACCCGCTTCGGGGACCAGGCGCCTCAAACCGCATTGAGGCCCTCTCCGCCGCACCGATCGGCCAATCACACGCGCTACCACAGCTGCGCGTCACCCCCGGCCGACCAATCAGCGTGCAGGACGCCGACGCATGCGCCACGCACACCACACTGCCGAGGCATCATGGCCGCCACGAATTTCGGCGATCACATGGGAAACCCTGCCAGGACAACGGCCGCCGCGCGACAGGCACACTACCAGCAGCAGCGCGAAAATAAAAATACTAAGCAATACTAAGCACTAAGCATTCGTACTAAGCAACGTTTGCGCCCTCACCGTCCGTGGCCTGTCCGCCCTCGCTGACCACCGCGCACTGATCACTGGCCCGTTTCGCCATCACTCGCAATCACAGCTCCAAGGCTTCACCTTGATCTGATCCTCGTCGCCAGGATGTTATAACGTGAGCTCTTTATTCACAACCAAAGCCGCATTGCGTTAAACTTCCTAGAGCGCCAAACACCGATCGCTACTACCACAACCGCGCTCCGCGCGGGCCGGCGGCCGACTGCTCTCGAACCCCGCGTCTGCGCGCCGGCGCCGCCAATGGCGTCGCCAGGCCCCCGGGCAGGGGGGAGCAACTGGCGTCGCCAGGCCCCGGGGCAGGGGGGGAGCAGCTCGCGACACCACAAATAGCTCTCATCGGAGCGTGAATATCAAGAATGTGCAAAAAGAGAGCAAGAAAGCGCTCCCATTTGAGGCTGACGGTAGACGCGGTTAACACTGATTCCCAATTTGCAAGGGAGAGGTCAAGCACAAATGCCTGCAAGTCAATGCGTCGAAGACAGCGTGATCTGATAATACGACGAGGCTTTCGGACACGGGGAATACTGATACAAGCAAGAACAATCTTATGAGGACTAAAATGACAGAACCTCGTATGACATTGCATAACCACTTGGGGACAAGTTGTAAGCAAGACATCAAGCAGCGATCCTGTATAGTACGTAGCGTCAGTCACGCATTGGGCAAGTGAATAGTCAGTGACAAAGTTGTTAAGGGCGTTTTTGCCACAATCAGAGTTTGGTTTTAGCCAATCGCAGTTTAAGTCACCACAAATCACGATTTTAGTGTGTGGATGTGCGCTGAGGACGTTTTGGAACTGATTGTCCAGATCACAAAAATCAGCCTCAATGTCCCCCACATTTTTCCTTGGAGGGCGGTACAGTGTGCCTATTATTATCTGTCGCTTGCTATTACATTTTACCATTACCCACATGGCCTCCAGCTTGCTACTTGCTACAGTCTCTGAGGAAACCTTTATCGGAGTGACTGTCAGCCCTTCCCTCGCAACAAGCGCCACCCCTCCATACCCGCTGTTGTCTGGACGGTCGGCACGGTGCAGTCTATAGCCTGGCAGGACAATCAGGCGACTCGGAGTGGCCGGTCGCAGCCAGGTCTCGCAGAGACAGAACAAGTCTATTTGATTTTGGTGAAGAAGGTCCGTCAGTTCTAGCAGTTTAGGTTTCATTGACTGGATGTTCAATGACCCAATGATAAATCCTTTTGACCGTGTAGCGATTAGGGAACGGTCGGCGCTATGCCTACCGTTGATGCTGTCGCGTGGTGCTTCATCGGTAGCGCGCTGATGCTGAAGTCCCGTAAGACACTGGTCATCGAGCAGGTCAGCTGAGTGGGACTGCTTGGCATCCAACAGCTCACGGGCGGGCCCATCATCTAATCTAAAAAACCGACCACTTCACTGATGATTTGCTGCGAAACGTTTCTGGCTCCTTCCCAGGTGTACAGGCAGCCAGTCCTGTTGATTCCCCTGTAGGCGCAGTCATTCAGTCGAGCACGCATATCGAGGAACCGTGCTCCATAGGCAGCACACAGGGATGACAGTTGGTCATTCACCAGTCTGATTCTTTCCGATGCGGCTTGACCTACGTCTCTCCTTTCGATCAACGAGCAGAGAACAACGTCTCGAACATTGTGTCGCCCCTTTGCTGTTGTGATCGTATGTGCGAGGCCCTCCAGGATGTTGTCAGCTTCCGAGTCGACAGCGTCTCTTCCTTCCGGATGAATGACTACGTCCACTGCGTCGGCATTGGTTTTTCTTACCGCGGAGATGATTTGCCGACTCATATCAGCGGAACTCGAGTGCTGGGAGGAAGAGAATGCGACATTACTTCCGAAGTTGAACTCTTCCCTAGCTGCTGTGCAGATACGCCTTACGTTCTCACCGCCAACTAGAATGGCTCCACTGGGAAACTGCTTTGGCTTGTTTGCTCGTCTTTTCACAAGGGTCCAGCTTGATCCATCATCACTCTTGGCCGTGTTTGTCGGGATTTCGTTACCGGAATCGACGTCTTGACCCGTTGAGCGTTCTTGAGCGCTCTTGCCGCGTTGGGATGCCTTTAAGTCTCTTTGCGGTTCAGAAGTCGAATTTATCTGAGCTTCCATAGGGCTGATGTTCGAATGTGTTTTCTGCTGCTCAGTAGCAGTGGGCTGCGATATGCACAGCTGTTCACCTTCACTTTGAACTGGCTTCGTGTTCTGCCTCTCAGAAATATCGTGGTGGAGCTTCGTTCCGGCCGCCACCATAGCAGCTGCGCAGAGCGCTCCGAGCTCATCGACTGACTTGCTGAGGTTTCTACAGTGTACGTGATGCCCTTTGATTTCGCTTACATCACTTTCTATCTTCCGAATGATAGTCCACAGCTTGTTCACATCCAGAGACTCTGGGATGCCGAGAAAGTTAGAACACCTCTCTTCCTTCTCTGCTTTCAAATCGTGCATCAGCTCTGCCAATTGAACACCCATAGCAGAGACCAGGGCCTCGTTTCATAAAACTCTGCCGTAACTTACACCTTTCCGTACTTCACACCCTTTCAAACTACGGAGCGTAAATTAAGCCGTTTCACAAAGCCAAAACTGGAATTGTTTACACCTCCGTAACTAAGCACATTTGCGTAGTTACCGTAATTTATCAAGTGTCCTACAAATTACAATTTCATGTCAACACTTATTTTTTACGAGAAATTATAAAACAATTATGTTGAATTTAAATCTTAAAAATTATTTATGAAAAAACAAAATTGATATTGATGACCATCCTTTATTAAATCAATATATTGAAAACAGCAGAAAGCCTGCTAAGCAGAAGTGCCTAACTACGAAAGTGGCGCGGCGCGCCGAATAAACAAAATTCCGATAGTGGCCACAAAAAGCGACTGGTACAGAAGATTTGCAGTTTCTTTTTCTCGTTTTGGCTGTTCTTTCTTCCTCACCGGGCTCAACATTATAAAATATATTAAAAATTAGCTTCGAATCTTCACATTAATTCAAATTCACGCAACATTTTTGTGCGTAGTTTACACCACTGATATCAAGAGCTTGATAAAATATTTGGCGTTAATTACGTCGTTTTATGAAACCCAAATGGCATCAATTGGTCCGGAATCGAGCATTTGCCGTAAATGAAGCTCCGTATTTTCGATGGCGTGAATTACTCCGGTCTCCGGCTTTATGAAACCGAATTGGCATCAAATACGCCAAATCTGGCATAATTGACGGAACGCCGTAAGTAATTCCTTTTATGAAACGAGGCCCAGGTCACTTTGGCTGGTAAGTTGGTCCTGAAGTATTTTAATTTTCTTCTGAAGCTCTCTTGTTTTGGTTCCTTCTTTCTTTTTCATGATGATTCTCTATACACACAGCTTTTTCTCCGTTTTAATGGAGGGCTACGACGCTTATAAAAATACTTGCTCTAAAGGTGCTTTGCTCACAACGTCACGTTTGTTTTTATAATTATTTTGACAGGTTCCGCAGGCAGTTGGATAGCTGCTTCGGGACAAATATGACGCTTCTCACTTTATCTTGCTATTCTTACCTTTTTACAAATGAGGTTATTTTTCATCACTTGGTTGATATCTTGCAGTAAAAATGATACCAATATATAAAGCAAGAAACTTTCAAACAAATTAGCAAGTTTTTGTCGCAAAACGAACGCTTTACAGCTTCTATGTGTGCTACAAGCACAAAACGTGTGTGCACAAAACGTGCGATTAAACTATGTGGGATTATCCCTTATTTTTAGTGTCATTTTGTGCAGAATTGAACGCGTTATCAACAGCTTGTCAAAAATCGACATTTTATCGTGCATGTCGATAACAAAATTAATATAAACGTAGATCTGGCTAGCGATGCTAATGGACCTCCAAGTAAAGATAGTGGGGAAAATGAAATCTGCGACGAGGCATCCTCAATCCTCATTCTTCGAATAATTATTATCATTGAATAGCCCGTAAAATCTTTTCCCGGATGTGATTTTAAAACCAATATATTCTTCCGTTGGTTGTTGGCAAAAAACAATCTATCATGGGGTTCACGTCGTTCTGCGTTCACGGCCACGCCCCGCTCTCATCGGGGAAATATGCAGCATGACTTTGTTCCACAATTAGCGCCGTGAAGTGATCATAGCAGATTTTCCCTATTAATAGCGCCATACTGTGAAGAATTGAACACTTTAGGTATCGGACACCTTTCTTGATCTAGAATCGTTCGTTGCATTGTGCGTGTCAACATGAAACTTGACATAGGTAACTCGAAGTTTATTGTTATCAGGCCCAGCAATGCAGAATGAGCCGTGAACACAGAGCTATGAACGAGTAAGGAAATTGAAATATGTGACGAGATGTTATTTTGATGTTTCGAATACCTAATAAGTAGGTGCCAGTGCATGGCCCGTTAAATTTAGTACCGGACACGAATCCAGATTCAAATAAATATTGCTCTGCTTCTTGGCAAAAGCAATAAGTCTGCACACATCATAGGCCACAGTGTACGCTCCCATTGGTTAACCCGCGCCCTGCTGGGGGGTGTTTGAACACCCCCCTTGTGGTTTTCGCGAATATCTCAAAAACGGCGGCGCGGAGCGCCGCCGTTTTTGGTACACCTTATTATACATCAATTCTACACATGTTGTGAAAATTTCAGACACGGTCATTCAAGGTCAGGTCACAAGGTCACTTGAAGTGACCTCACCTCATAAAAAGTTTCAATGTCTGTCATAGCTACACCGAGTGACCGATCGCTTTGAAACTTTCAGCGATTGCTAAGAGCAATAGCATGTACAAAATGTATATCTCAGAATTTTGATATCGATGACCTAAGGTCAGGTCAATTTTGCGACCTCCCCATTATAAGTCAATGGGAGAAAATTGAAATGCGCCTCTTTTGGACGAAAGACATTATAAACACTCCCAACCACTGAATTACAAGTGGTTTAGACACACTGAACATGAAAATGGTGTCCGTGACCCCTGTTTATGCCCTGAGGTCATCTTAGGTCACGAATGGTATCTAACAGTTTTTCGCAAATAACTTTTGATAGAGGCATGCTAGAGCGATGAAAACGCCTTAGATGTGTTCAGCTCGACGATACGGATCGACTGATATGCAACATGAACTTTCCGGTCAGGTCATGACCTTGACCTGAGGTCAAATTTTCAAGTTGACCTTTCAAGGTCAAGTTATAGTTCATTCGATGCGTCTTGACGAGAGGAACACGATGCCGGTAAAAGTAAGCTCATACAAGGCTTGGGTCAAAAGTTATTGCAGAAAGACTGTTTCCGAAAAAAATCGGCTATTTTTGCAGTTTTTGCCCTCTGCAGGCAAAACCGTTGACGTTAGGTCAAATCTGAGAAAATTATTCAGAAAGGGCGTTAATAGGACTATCGAATGCGCTTTTCCGCGGCGCTGTAGCTCTATTGGTTCCCGAGTTATGCGTTGGATTCTTGAAAATTGTCGACATTCGACCTGGAAATCGGCGAAATTTTGCCTTCAATGACCTCTGGTGACCTGACCTTTGACCTGACCAAAAAATTGACCGAAGTGATTTCCTCATTATTCTTTACGCTCTTTCGAACACCGCCTTCCGCGTATCGCTACGTGGCCCAGGAGCCGAGTTAGAAGGGGGTGTTCAAACACCCCCCCCCCCAGCAAGGCGTGGAAATCCAGGACCCCCAGCCGGGCGCGGGATAACCACGGTGACTATGCTATAGCATGCAATGTCGGCTGGACATTCTTTCTGTTACACAAAAAGTGCGATGAAGTGATGGCGGATAATCTCTTGAATTTAGTGTCATTCTGTGTAAAATTAAACGCTGTATCGAATGCTAGTCTAGAATCATATGTCAATGATGTCTGTCAATGCAAAATTGCACTGCAAACTTGAATTTTCTCGTGGGACCGGCCGCCGGCGGGCCGAGCGTCACGTGACCCCAATCTCAGGAGCCGGTCAAGGTCACATGGCCTGAGTACAGTTAGTAGTTCCCAGATTCGCCGCCAGAGTAGCGCCACTTGCAACGGAGCAAAAGAATGCTATATTGCGCGGTAGACTTTTAAAACGAAGGTAAGATATATTTTCACATCCATGATCAAAAGTTATGACATTAATCGAAATGCTGTATCCAGCTGCGCAACATAATATTATCGTCACCCCACACACCGTCACCACGTCACTTCCCCTCCCTCCTTCTGGCTCCTACCCTCCACCATGTCCCAGGTCAGCCGTCCGCGTGGCTGCCGTCCGTCGTTAGAATTGTGTTTTTCTATTGAAAAACAACCGGAGCGGTCGCTCTCCGGGCTATGTTTAGCAAGTCTGGCAGCGAATCGAGACATCTTGAGCCTGTCGAAAACGAATCGCTCAATCTTCGTAAAAAGTTCAGTGTATGGGCAGTGGATGCTAGCTACTTTTAAAATGAACTTGAATATTTCTTCTTTGCCGACAGAACCCCAATGTCCCCGCTTGTATTGTCCTTGGACCGTAACGAAAGCAAGGCAAATCTATATTCAGACACACTTCTTCGTTTTCTACAGAAAACAGCTGTGTTTTAATAACAAAGAAGAAGGGTAACTGGGGTTACTGGCGCACCTGAGACAATAAAGCAGTGCACCGCTTGCTTGGGAAAAAATTGTGAGAAAAACGTTATACATTTTAAAAATAAAAAGTCCAGGAATACTTAAGGAATACTGCAATAATTTTTTTACTTATTCCAGAGCCTTTGAACTCCAGCCAACCAGTAGCAGTGTAAATTGGTCAAGTACTCGCTTCATAATATGCATATGCGTTTATTGTGGGAGAATAGGTCAGGTGAGGTAGTTTTTTACGACTACCATTTTTTTAGGTCTGATAGGTAGATAGTTGAGTGCACGTATAAAAGAATTGGCAAGGCAGACGGCAGACAAGTGGGCATATAAAATAAAAATGGCTTGAGACGGGATTCAAGCATGGTTCCATCATACACGCACTCAGGACAGTAAAATTATCAATGCCTCGGCCCTCAACCCCTGATCCGGGCTGGAAGGGCAACTTTATCCCGTGCGGGGAGCCCCATCGGTCAGCACACCTGTAGCCAGGTACATTGATTGCTTGGGAGGCTGGGTGACCTGTCCATTTCAGTAGGCGGAACTATGGTCAAGCGTACCCATTTTCGGGAACGCATTTTCGTTCCCATGTTTGGGAACGATAAACCCAAATATGGGAACGCCATGTAGCAATTATTTAAAACAAGAAAAAGAACCGTTAAATGATGTCCAAAAAATATAAAACGATCGTGAACCGCCTGATATTTGTCTCAATATTGTTGGGAAAGAGTTTGATATTGTAAGGCCCATCGTAGTTTCAAATCGTTCCCCTATTTCTAAAGCAGTCCATCATCCGGGCCGCGAACCCAAATTTGGGAACGCTCTCGTACACTGGCGCTGCAAGCGTTCCTTATTATGGGAACGGCGTACCCAAAATTGGGAACGATTTCACCGACGCCTTTCAGGAGCTCTTTTCATTAACAAGCATCATGTCCAACGCCGCAAATCATTGTTAAGCAACAATCATCAGATGACCTTTCCGGCAAGACCGTCGCATGTTTCGCCCGGTCTTCTGCGCTTTTATTCCCGTCGATCTCGCAGCGGGCACGCCCCCCTCTGCAGGATTACGTAATTCACAACGCTCAGCGATGTTTAACAAGGTCTTCCATACCTATATCCACCGTCCGCGCCGAGGGTGGAGACATGTCAAGCACCTGTCTGTTTATCACCGATAGTTGACGAGCACAAGGAAGTATCCAAAAATGGGAACGCTGAATATGTTACACCCTCAAAACACCTAGTCCCATGGAAAATCTAGTTTTTTCCTTTCTTAATGAGTGTAAGTGGCAAAAGGCCTGGTAGGATGGGCACGAGGAATGATCGAAATCAGCATAAAAATTATAAATAAGCCACACAGAGCGACCTATATAAGAGAAATTCCCCCAAAACGATCATGCTTAGAAACACGGAAGACAAAAACCACGCTCATGACGCTCCTTATAAAACAATGCTAAACAGCTAGCATCCAAATAAAATATGTCTTTCCGGGCTGATAAAATACAGCTGAATAATTTTAAACCACTGAAACTGAGTTTACAACAGTAGTTCGGTAAAATCACTGACGTTCCACGCGGTCGTGCGCCCCGAGACCAAAAGTCAACAATATTACCTCGGGACTGTCCGCGTGTTCGCTTGCATATGTCAGCATCTGGTGTCGCTAGTATGAAACTTCATAACCAGGCGAAAATTATTATACTTGACCTCAAAATGTAAAAAACGCTTCATTTTCCTTTAAATTGCATGTTAAATGTAGTATAACCCATGTTTTCACCATTCCGTCATTTCAAAAAAATCATTAAAAATATCATTCGACGGTCAATTTCCTTGTTCAACGGTCAGATTAAAGGTAATTTTATAGAGATTTAGTAGATACTTAAATTAGCGTGCACTTTTTTGAGACGTGATGCACTAATGAGTTTTAGTGGGCGAACGGCCGAAAAATTACCTTCCGTTCCCGTAAATGGGAACGCCCGTTCCCATATTTGGGAACTCCGTTCCCAAAAATGGGAACGTTCCTATATTTGGGTACTCATGACCATAGTTCCACCTACTGATTTGGATAGGCCCAGCCCCAACGACTCACTAAGGTGCCTGGCGCCTGCCTGGACCAATGTGTCCCCCTAATTCCTAACATCTTTCTGGCTCTGAAATGGTCTCATCAGACCAAAAGAGCCTGACCTAACAAAATAAATAATATGGATTTGAGTGAAAAGAAAATTAAAAGTGAAATTAAAGATTTAGATCAAGATTAAGATGAAATTTTACTGTGCCAGTTTTAGAAGCATTGAGGCTTAATGTGCACTTTTCATCAAATTGCTTCAAATGTTTAGACAGCTGACAGGCTTGAATAATCTGGCTATGCATAGCCCAATCAGCAATTTTTACATCAAGGCATCTTTTCAGTTTGTAAAAACTGGTAGTATGCTATTAAATGATGCTGATTATATACCTACCTGTCAGTGCCCTGTGACATTTAATGGTCAGATATTGGTTTCTTGTTGTAATGTCAAGTCTTGTTTTATGTCTATATTCAGCTTATGTTACAACAATTAACCCCGCGTTCGATGTCTCTCGGACGGCGAAGATTCTACGCCGTCCGGCCAATCACGTTTCATAACCGCAGCCGAGCCCCCGCTGACCTTGGACGGGATTGGCTGGACGGCAAAGAATCTTTGCCGTCCGGGAGACATCGAACGCTGCCTAAAATTTAAATCTTTAATTTTCTTCTGTGGTGGAGGGAAATTCAACATCCTATTGCTAACGCCTGGTTAACTGGTGCATATTTAAACAAATTGGACCAAATGGTAAAGACAATTCCTGCAGGTCTTGTCTAGTCTTCTTGACAGATTCCAATTGGCTTCAACATTATTGATTGCTGAACAACAGTTACAGTTAAGTATAGCCCACCTATATGTATGCCGGGACACAGGGTGCCAGGTGCTTGCTTCTCTTTTCAGGTTCAGTGTCTGTCTTATAGTTTGCTCTCCACTGGTCAACTTAGAAGTGTACTGTATCAGCTTCTGTCTGTCAGAATGTCTTCCTATATCAAACACCAAAACTGCTAGCTAGAGTTGTGAATGTTCAATGTAGGCATTTAATTGGTAGATTTGCAAGTTTTCAAAAATTTTGGCTGTCAGTTTACTAGCCAGGGCACAGTAAATGCTGTTGCTCAGTGAATTAATTTTCGACTCAGGCAAGACCGCCTAGGCTTAGATACTTGTTTGGCCAGTATTAATGACCTTGCATGCTTCCTGCAACTTAACAGCTATATTTATCAACCTTTTTTCATCTTGGAGATTTACTTATACGATTGTCATGCATCAAAATGTGTGTCATAAGATCCATGGTGTAATGAGATCAAAGTGGTTAGAAATGTACCTATGTCTTGGTGTAAGTCACAACTAGTTTTAATTTTTAGACTCAACATTGATTGAACATGTTCAAAAGCATCTTTGGAAGAGATTCACCTGATGTATCAAGAGCCAAACAGATCAAGACCCTAAGGATTTACAACAAAGAGTAAGTACCTACTTAACTTATGAGATCAACATGACAAAGAAGGATGGCAGAAAGTAGCCATTTCCCTCTCTGAGGCACAACAGTCTCATCCCAGCATAAATATTCACAGAATGTTGTTTCACATCTTTTTCAATATAATTCCAGTGAGGTAGAATTTAGCTACTGAAAAAATCATATATCATCCAATTAGAATGGACTCAATGGATACTTAATTACCTACTCTAAAATATCATGTTTCCCTCAGCCATGATAATACGAGGATGAGTTCCTTCTCCTGCACAAAGCAGAACATTGAAGTCCTGATTTGAGCCTCTTTCCCTCTCATGGTTTGCCCATGGTGGGAATGGCCTGCCACCACTGGCAGCAGTCAGTGGTCATGATACAGGCCAGATAATGTTAGTGGACAGAAGGGAATGGACAATGATCTAATTGGACCTTGATCAACATTGGCTCTGGCCTGAAAATTTACTCATTGCAAACACTCGGATGCTAGTTGTATTTAGAAGCGTCAGTTTGCTACTTTGTGAACATTCGTTGCCTAAAATGCATGTATGTATGCATGTATGACTTTTTACACTGTGTGAATTTTACCATAATATCTGCACTACCCATGTAAAAGACACCATTCACCGAACTCGACCCCCCCCCCCCCCCGGCAGAGTGTCGGAGGTGACGCACAACCAGGAGTACCGTGTGTCGTTCTCGGTGGACGGCGTCGGCTACAGCATCTCCGTGTACCTGCCGCCCGGCTACCCGGACGAGCGGCCGCTGCTGCAGGTCAGCCCGCCCGTGCAGCACCCCTGGGTGGACGCCGGACAACAGGTGGTCGCCGCGCCCGGCATCGTCAACGTGAGTTCTCGACGGGAAGTGGGGCTCGGCTCTGCCGGCTGCAGGATCATCTTCGGGGTACATCTTCTTTACTACTGTCATTTAAAGCTCCTCTACAAGGGCCTGATTTGCTTTGCCTACAAAATATGCACTGCCTGCTCCTTCAAGGCTCACAGTGATTTCGATCGCAGTCCACATGTGTCACCCATGAGGCCTGTTGAGCACAATTCCTGAAATAGTAGCTGTATGCATTTTGCTGTGTATAAGCCATTCAACTATCAGTCTTCTGACCTCACCTCTGTGCCTCCTTTAGGTTTGTTCCCCTGGTTTTTCGCTACCTGAGCCACTGAGCCTCCCCTGCCCTATCCCCGGTGCCTCTCCCCTGCTCTGACCTACGACACCCCTCCGGCAGTACACGAAGCACTGTGACCTCGGTCAACTAGTGCAGAACATCGTCCATGAGCTGGAGCGGAGTCTGAGCGGCGCCGGAGCCTCGGCAGCGCCGGCTGGCTTCTCACCGGGACTGTACCCGGCGGCAGGACCCAGCGTACCGCAGGCAGAGCTAGGTATGACGGTGTGTGGGTGTGAGGGAAGGGTTCTGAGGTGAATGAGGCGAGGGGATGAGGGAGAGACCACCTGACGGCAGGACCCAGCGTCCTGGAGGCCGGGATAGATTGGATAGTGTCCTGCAGATGGGAGTGAGGGAGGAGCTTGCGACTTCATTCACAGAGCGTGGTGCTTGGGTACTTACTGTAGGGACAGACACCATTGGAGCTTATAAGTGTGCGTAATAAGAAAAATTCTGTGAATGTTTTCATTTTTGTAGCACTTGAGTGTCGAGATGATTTTTTTTTTTTTGCCATCGCCGTCAACTACACTCACTGCTCTCAATGGCATGCTCCGAAAGTCTCATCACGCCGCGTGCCGTGCCTTGTTCGTAGACTTCCCGGAGCTGTCGAAGCTGAGTCAGGAGGAGCTGGAGGCGCTGCTGGGGGACGAAGACCGGCTGGAGGAGCTGGTGGAGGGCCTGCCGCAGGTGAAGCCGCTGCTGGACGACCTGCAGGCCACCATGGACCGCGTGGAGAAACTGGTCGGTGAGTCTGCAGGACTGGACGGCGCACATTGTCGCCAAACTAGCCGGCCAGTGACTGTCTTGCTGTGATTATGATGTCTTCAATGACAGGCCTTGAGTCATTTAGAGAGTGTAGTAATAAGCCACGTATACTGGTTTCAGGATGCCAGAAACTTTGGACTCGTGCGTCGTAGCAAATAGCGATGTTCAACATTCACCGTGGTGACAATTCCTCTTCTGCCAGGTGATACTGTATCGGCGGCACCGCGGCTGTCCAGGCGGTTAAGAGCTCACTAACCCTCCCCTCCTGTCTCTACTCTGTCGGCAGTTTCTCGGCTGTTCGGGCTCACTAATCCTTCTCTCCTCCTCTCCCTCTTTCAGGAGATACGTTATCCGCGGCGCCACGACTCGCCGAGCGGCAGCAGGCGGTGGAGTCCAGCCGGGAGGCGGTGCGCGCAGAGCTGACCCGGTTCGAGGCCGGGGAGCGGCGCCGGGAGCAGCTGGCCGAGCGGTACGCGCCCGCCCACCTCGAGAGGCTGCTGGAGATCGCCGCTGCCGAGGCGGAGGAGTGCTCCGACCGGCTGGCGGAGCGGCTCTCGGCCGGAGAGATCGACGTCGACAGCTTCGTCAAACAGTTCATGCACCAGAGGACGGTGAGTGAGACGGTAGGACGGGATAGGTAGACAGGGCAGTGATATGCTCTGGACATTTGCGGTGCTCCTTTTTTGCCAGGCGAAATCCAATACAACTATTTTCGATGTTTCTGGTGCGTCCATTAGGTGTTGTCGGTATTTTTATGTTTTTTTTTTTTCGAGAGCGCTGTTATACTGTCCTGAATATAAAGCTGCAGTAGCATGTGCGATTGGCCGATATGCTGCGTTATCTAGGTGCCCGTGTCTCGCCCACTGTGGGGAAGTGGCTGGCTGTGCTTTATTTCTTTCAATAGCTGTGACTGACTGTGTTTTTCTCTGTTACAGCTCTGCCATACCCGGAGAGCCAAGCAGGAGCGTCTGCACGCACAGCTGCGCGAGCTCGACCTGTCCTGGGCCTCCTGATTGGTCAGTCCCGGTCAGTCCCGTGTGAACGGCCATCCTGATTGGTCCATTTCACACGTCCAACCCTAACGGCCCCCATTGGTCACTCCCATGATCAGGGTGTACGGGAGGGCCAATCAACCTTCCGAACATTTTAACACCTTACCTTCTAAATATGTAGTACTAACATCGTAGCCTTTAGGGCCAACGCGCCCAATCCACAAGCATTTCCAGATAGTAGTCTGATAGCTAGGCGTGCTACCCATAGGCGCGGGAGCCGGGGGGGGGGTGGGGGCAGTGGGGGCAGCTTGCCCCCCCCCAACTCTGGGGCCGTGGGGGCGGTGCCCCCACAGCTTTGAGACGGAATGCCACACTTTTTTTGCAAATGTTTTCTTTTTTTGTTGAAAAAGCCGAGGGGTGAAAAATAAGTGGCCTAAAACCGGTGAGAAAACTAGATTTGGGGGTACCCTAGGTTAATCTCTATTATGGTGTGCCCCCCCCCCCCAGTCGGAAAGTAGTTCCCGCGCCCCTGGACTGCTACCTACGCCAGCGGAAGTCCTACTCAGTAAGATCTTGCCAGCAAGCGCTCTCTGTCTCCGCTAGTGGCGAGCCGAGCGGTGGCTGTGATCGGGTACTGAGCCTGAACTCTACTCAGGACGGACTTAGGTCTCAGAAGACGAACCGGCAAGTGACGGGCAGTCATTCCGAATCTCCCGGGCGGCGGACACTGGTAACTTATGACGTCAGACTTAAGCCGCCCGTTTTTGTAGTGTTGAATACGTGGGCTGATGCTTCTTAGGAAGACAAGTGATTACACGAGGCATTGAAGAGAAATATTCAGATTTATGTGATCTTTGAATGATGTGTTCCCAAAATAAGATGATTTTAGTATACGGAATGAGAAGCAAATGGTATTGAGCTGATTCCATTGAACACTTCTCCATGCGTTTTGTGTTTGATGTGGCGTTTGTATTAATGTATGATGATTGAGAGAGAAAGTGCCTTTGGGCTCCGACTCTTCGAGCTGACTGTGGCCCGTGATTGTCCTGTGATGGGACTTCCTCCGTAGGTTACCGGGATCCAGAGTGCCCAATGCGTGGCTTCCAGCTCCGTCGATACTCACTAGCTGTAGTTGTCGGATGGGGAGGAGCTTTGAATACGCAGCGGCACAGCTGGGGCTGAGGGGGCGACTGCCACCTGTGTTCTCCACTTTGTGAAAAAATGTCGACTGTGGACTGTGTCTGGATACTTTGTGAAATAAGTGTTGACTGTCGAGTATGTCTGGTATTTCGTCTGTGAGACTGTTTGTTGTAAAAATGTGTGGTTTGAGCTGTGCTGTTCACGGTATGTATATGTTCCACATTGAGTTTATGTCGCTGTGAGCTAAAGCAAATACGTGCGATAACTACGATGTCTCCGTTTTTAAGTTAAACATTCTGTTTAAGGGGATCTTAGGCAGCCCTTTTCGTTTCGCAAGCTCTTTGACCGTCTATTTGTCAGTTAAACTTTGTATGAGCGGAGACAATAGCTCACATGCTGAATATCATGGCGGTTCCAGCGCATAGCAATAGTTGGAAGGGCGGAACATTTTTAGGTGAATGCTGAATATCGATTGTGGACCTGGTGTGCCACTAACGGACTCGACCATGGAAACTGCCCTCGTTTATCGAATTCCAGTTTTATGTGGGGATTGCCGCTGTAAGTTGGCTGCCATCGGGGTCACAGCAGGTTAGGCTGCTGCTCAGTCGTCTTGACAGATGAGTGGTGAATCGCATAAGCTTGTTTCAGTTCCTCTGAGCATAAGGTGTGAAGTGTTTGGAGAACGTATCATGTGCGGTCTTTCACGCCGCGGGGCTCTGGTGCTCAGAGTCAGTCGTCAATTCGTCGGGGCTGTATCCACGCTGGAGCCTTCAATACACATGTATAAGCTCAGTTACTATTTACACGATGGTGGGAAACTAGTAGTGAAAACTACTAGAACCATTTGATTACTCTCCAGTACTGCACGTGGGTCAAATCTGCTTCCTTCGATGTCTGCTTCATTTTATGCCCTACGGACCTGCGTAATTGTGATTAGTTTGAGGCTTCATCCCCTCGCACCCTCGGCAGAGCCCTGGACCGCCGCGGTCGTCCCGATCGTGATGGCTCTCGTTAGTTTCCGTACAGGTGGCAGCACTGCGGGGCGCAACAGTGCTGTCATTTGGCCTGCTCTATCCCTGATCCGGGTCCAGTCTTGTGCTGCCACCTACGTACATTTTGCCTGGCGCTGAGCTATTCAATGTCCGTGTTCTGAAAAGCAGCCCACTGCACCCGTTGCTTGAGGTGGATGGGAGGGTAGGCGCTGCTCCACTTGGGACACTCACGTCCGAGTGGGCTGGACTCAGCCACTGCAGTGCATCAGTCGGTGGTCGCTCAGTCAAATGTCGCACGGTATCCTCTCCATGACCCTCTGACCCTATGTCGACCCTATGTTCTCAATACACCAAAAACCTCCCTCCCCACTCCTCCCAAATAAATACGAAGATTAGGTTTGACTGCCTGAGACTACATAGCAATCTTGGCCCAAGTGACAGGTAGCAACTCACGAACCACTTTAAGTGCCTAATAAAAATGTCTAGAACCAATCGATTCATCCAGTCCATTTTGAGCTGGACCATCGTGATCCGCTCAGGAGCAAGGGGCATCGCTTCCAATCCGCTCAATTTATGCCATTAAAACTATGGACTAAATGCTGGTGACCGTGCCGTATAATGGATTCCACACATTGCCCTCGGGAGATGGCCATCCTTTGAAGCTTTTATAAAGCTTTATTTGCACTGCTAGTTGTTGTTTGATGGCTGCTTCTTTGTGCCTCTTTTTCTGTCGCTAATTAGGCTTTATACCTACTTCTTTTCCTTATCGAGGTATTTATTTTCAACTCAACTGACAGTTCAATTTCAGTTTTTATGCCTTCCCTCATTCTTAGTTTATGTCAGGGTCCGGAAAGCTGTTTTACGTTCTTTGGTACTGTGTGCGAATAACAGTTCGACTAACTAGCATCAAATGTCTTGGGTTTTAGCTGATTGGTTTATAGTTTCGGTAGATGCTTCGGATTCAGTTATTTACGCGCGCAGATCGTACGATTGTTACGTGCACTATGTTGTTCAAATAAAAAGTGTTCGACCGTCGTTATCTCCCCTGACCGGTTTGGCCGAGGCACGCGGATTTCCGCTCCGTCACACCGCTCACGGGTGTTGTCCCTGGTGTAACGGAGTCTCTGCTGAGTGGAGGTCACTTCTTCATCGAGTGTCTCCGGTAGTGGGAGCCGTTAATGGCCATTTCAGTGCTGCCGGTACCGATACGACGCCGATGAGCGACCGGCCGCGGGCCATTGGTTGCTGAGCCGGACACGGGACACGAATGGTGACAACTGACGGCCGGGCTGGGCTGAGAACTCGTCAAATCAGAGCTAAGGAGCGTGTCACTGTTCGTCCGCGTCGGCTCTTGCCTCGTCCATCGAACATGAAATTCCATGAAGGGTGAAAACGGAAGCCGATACAATGGGACTAGTGTAGTGTCCACTGTCCAGACACGAGATGAGATGATAGCTGTTCCACATGCCGGGAACAACTTGGTGTGTATGTAGTATGGGTAGTTGTTGCTTCGCTGGTGATTTTTACTGAAAGTTTCCAGTTCTCGCTTTTTATATCGGCATTCAGACGACGGGTCGGTCGCGCCGGCTTCTACTTGAAGTGAATGACAAGTACACACGATAGTCTGAGCCGGGCATTATTCTGGCTAAGCGTGCATCAAGTGCAACATAATGGGTCCTCTCCTAATTCTAATATCGACCTCGGTCCTCGACTGTATTACTGTGTTCCTCACTTCCATCCGCCACCTGAAGGCAACTTTATGCAACTTTGCAACTTTTATGCATCCTTCCAACATTGTTTCTCATTTGTCCCTGGTTCTGCCACAGCAGCGACCCTCGCTCGTCGCTCATCCCCTCTGTTTACTGCTTGCAATGCCGCATAGTTTCACGAACTGTGTGCGTGACCTCGAGCCGGGACAGACAGGTGTCACGTCCCACGCACAATGACACGCACACGAGCAGCTGAGGTCGCCGCCGCCGGCCGTCCGCCGTCACACACAGCTGGGGCGCCACGTGTGACCGGCCTCTGAGTCAGGAGCGGGACCCGCGCGGAGTTGGACACCGCACGGAGCGCGAGCCGGCTGGGGTGACCGCGGCGCCGGCGGTGACGTCACAGCAGCTGCCGTCGGTGATTGGACGTGCTCGGTCGCCGGCGGCGGCACGGAGCGTCCAGCGGCGGCGCCTCGGCGGCCGCCAGTCTTCCAGCGGAGCGGGTGTTGGGTAGGCCGTGCCGGCTGTCTTTGTTTCTGCACAGAGACGCGGCTTCAGGCCAACCAGCGACGGCGCCATGGGACGGAAACAGCAGGGAAGCCGGCCGACCAAGCGCGATGTCTGCATGGGTGAGTACGGCTACCGAGTCCAGCCGGCCCTGATGACTCTGAACTGACTCCGTGTCGTGAGCGCGGTCATTGACAGGAGGCCCATTGCCTGCGGACGACCCTGAAGTCGAGCGCCGGCCGCGGTGTCTGGCCGACGGCTGCCGAGTCACGCCGCTCCGACCTGACTCCACGGCGCATTCGTTTGTGGGAGCGCTTGCGAAGCTCGCAATCCCCTGCGGTACTTTCGCCAAGACCAGACACCGCATGGTACGACACGCCTCGGATGAAAGTGGACGGTAGTCGGGTCGATTTGGCACGGCGCCAGACCCGCTCGTGTGTGTCGGGGATGGCTCCGTGTTTCGATTCGCATTGCTTCATTCTGTCGTCGGCCGAACGTTCACCGTAGTAGGCTGTGTGGACCGCGTTACGCCAGGTTCCAACCAATAGCCTTTTGCATACTACGGAATCTGCAGGAACGTTCGTTCCCAGTATTGACCGGCTGGTGGCGTAATTTGAAATTGGCCAACCGAAGACGTGACGGTCGAGTGGAGCTAATCCCGAGACAATGAATTTGAATTTCCACCAGCCGGGTCCGCTGGGTGTAGGCGTGGCCGTTGGTGTGGTATCCCACGGAATACCGGTGCCACATTCCGCTTGTTTGTCTCTGTGCCGTCCCCTCGCCCTGTCCCCGGCCCTGCAGGGGAACAGTTCTGCCGACCATTAGTGATCCTTTTCACTCTCTCCCTCCTCTCTCACCGGCGCCGGCCGCTATTTTCGAGCGCCGGGGAGAGGGGCGCGCGGGAAGGGACAGACGGTCCTTGCCGGAGGGGTGCCCTGGGGCTGCGGTGGCGGCTGAGCGGCGGGAGGTGAGCGGCCGGTGGGGTACCTGGGGTAACGGCCCGGCCGCCGCTGCTTCTCAGCGGGACAGCCTGAGCTGAGGATCAACCTCGACTCGTGGAGACCGGTGTGGAAGCATGAGGCAGACACGGGCGCAGAGAACACTTTCCATCGGGAGGATGGTTGAATAAAGGGTTGAGATGGTTCTTGTGAAATCGGTCTGTAGTCTACTAAAATCTCCGCTGGTCTGACGTACGGAAGGCTCTGTTTGTTTCTACTTCCTCCCCTTTGCCCCCTGTCTGTGGTCTGGTCCGATGCGGTGACACCGACCGAACTGCTGGGTGGCAGGGCTGGTCTGTGGTGTGGTGGTATTCGCCACTGTCTGGTCAGGTCTAGTAGCTCGCGGTGACATTGACCGGGCCCAGTCGGTTCAGCTGGGTGGTGGAGCCGGTCACTGGTGCGGGGTCGGTTTATGGTCTGGTCTAGCGGCTCAGTCTGTCCTGGCAGCTCGCTGTGACAGTGACCGGACCCAGTCAGCCCCGCTGACCTTTCCGTCAATCTGCACAGCCCTTTGGCCAGAGTCGGTAAGGTCACTGACGGCAGCTGGCCGCGGGGGCGGAAAAATCAATGGTGGCACGTGCAGCGACCCCAGAAATTAGTTCACTTACGTGACAAAAAAGGAGGAAAACACAGTCGGGCTTATGCTCTTTCGAGATTCGTAAATAAATAGTAATAAAGAAAAACGAATGCAACAAGCAGTATCAATGGTTTTCTTCACTATAAGGAAATGCAGAGTCGCTGTCCTGGCCCTGGGCATGTCCGTGTGTTCTGCGGCGCCCTGTGTGGTGTGCGAGAGAGAACAGTGATGTGTCGGATCCGGCCCGACGGCACACGATGCAGGAAACGCTGATCAACGCCTTTATTAAGTCTCTTCTCAATTGCTGGCCGGAACTCTCAATGGAAGAGGGCGGACGGAATCGGGACCTCGAGCTGCCCGTGTTGGTGTGGAGGGTGTAGTGGCAGGTCTATCGGACCCAAAGGCACCGTGCACGCGGTACAGACATGGTTCCAAACATGTAATGCCGGCTTGTAAATGGGCTGCAGCCTGCAACGGATGCTGCATGTGTTACCCGTGCAGTGTAGATCCAATCGATAGTTGCCAACTTGATGCAGAACCCTGAAGCCAGTTCTTTGATGCTTATGTTTTGCTTTTGACTGCTGTTGTCTGGCTGGAATTTTCGACTCTCTAAGACGTTGATTGTGTTGCTGTTTTTTTTTTCTGTTCTTTTGCGCAGTAATTTTCCATCTTGGAATGTGTATATTGTAGGTACTGAGTCAGCTTGCCTATAAGCATACCGGTTCTTGGCTGATGCGTCTTACGTCTTGTTTTATAATGCTCGCCGTTTTACACGCTGGAGATAAGCTGTCTAAAGAGCATGGTACCTAATACCTATGCATCGGACTGGGGTACGTATGACTGCCAGACTATTCTAGACATGAATTCTGGAACACTTTTATTGAAATAATTGTTTCCTCGATATCCCTTTAACTCTGTGCACCGTGTAACTGATTCAAGTTATTTATCACACTTTGTTTCGGAGGCTTGGATTTTATATGTAATCTATTCTCGCTTTGCTGCAGTAAGTCGATGAATTTGGTCGTTTTGCATCTCAGTTCCGTCTGCTGTGACGTAAATTAATGCCTACCCCTAGTCCCAGTCCCCTATCCTTCCCGCCGGCCCGGTCTGGAGTAGATCGCCTCGCCATTAGTCTGAGTACCCCCATTTCCAGTCGTTCCGATCCTGGCCGCCACTCCGTGACTGGAATCAGGACTGAGTTTGATCGGTCGTCAGCGTCCGTCCCGCCTGCGGACGGAAGCCGAGGGTGTGGGCTGCTGCTGAGTGAGAGAGGGGTGGCAGAGGGGGAGGGGAGCAGGGCTGAGTGATGAACTGGCAGATAGTGGGCCAGTGACCAGACCGCCTCCATGTATGGGCGCTGGCCTCTCAATTCTCATCCAGGTGCCCCTGTGATGGGTACTGCGAACTGCCCACCGGAAGCTTTGGTGGTTCATGTATCGTGGGAACTAGATTCCGTGGGAGTTTTTGGAAAGCGGATGTGGGTATACCTGTTGATTTTCAAGATATGGTGAATCTAAGAAGCCAGCAATGGAATGCTTAGCATCCAGCGATGAAATTCTTCGGATTTGCTCGCGGATTAACTTTTCACGCAACTGAGACGTACTTCGCTAGAAAACACTACATATAGGCTGTTGATTGCGGTTCGATTACGTGTTAGTCATTCGCTACAGTGGTTCCCAATACTGACGAATGACGTCTTCACCGGAATGTGGAGGATTGATGCCCTTACCTCTGAGTTGCCTCCTCTGCTCAATGGACGCCGGGACCGAGTCGTGCGGCACAGCCTACCTTCAGGCGTTCGAGCGTGCTGCCATCTAGCGATAGAAATCCAAACTCGGAAGCTGCCCGGGAGTAGGTGATGAGTATTGCTGTGGTAACAAAAGCCTGGCTTAGGAATGCATCTTTTTTTGTACAAATTTGCAACTCAGCGTGTCGTCGGGGAACTGATGGGTTACTGAGTGAGCAGCAGGCATTCTCTCGATGCGGATAGTTCCTCAATTCGAATGACAATTTGTAGGAGACTTCAGCACCGATACTGCGAGTCCTACTGAGTAGGCGTCAGGCCAGTTCTATCACGGCCTTTGACCTTACCACTAACCCGTTCAGCTTGATGTAGGCGGCCCACTTACCTGCACACACTATGACTGAGCCTTATTTGATTTCCTATGGGTTTCAAAATTGGATTATCTGTGGTAACTATACCACGCCCCCATTCCCCTTGTCTACATCTCCTCTGTCATCCTGCCCTGGATAGCGGCTTTAAAGTCGTACCTCTTGTCTCGCTTATGCTTTATTTCTAGAACCGCCCCACGCTGAAGCCCCATGGCCACGACATCGCTGCTGTAGTGTTTCGCCCATAGCCCACCACCTACGTCCCGGATCGTATTGCACGACACCCAACCCTACAGGAGAGGACCAAGCTGATATGCTTTTACCTACTCAACGTCCGTTGGGAAAGGAGGGCCTGAGACTTCCAAATAATTATTTCATCCTATATAGAAAACAAAATCTTCTGGTCCAAATCCAGTAAAGGCAGATAGCGTTGTTGAGTATCTTAGTTGGGTGGGTAGGTGCGCATTACACATAGTCGTGCAAAAGGTATTTTGTCAATATATTTGTTAATTACGTTTATTTGCCATGTCATTCTACCCGTGTCAACGGGTCAGGTCATTTTTGTGCCCGTGATCTCCGTGCCGTCACGAGATCGTGTAATAGCCGGGCCTAATCCCGACATTGCCTGTGCACGTGGAGCTGGCGAGAACCTGTTCCTGGAGGCTAAGCCAAAGCCGAGGTCGAGGTGCACGGCACACTGGTTTCGTCATGACTCTGATCGGACACCCTGCGCGGTATCTGGACTGAGTTCCAGCCTCCTGATGATCTGCCTCTGGCTTAGTTCAGTCCTAATAGCACCAGCTGGTGTGATTTCAGATACCGTCCAGCGTTCACTGTTGTGTGGAGGAAGCTACTGTCATTGTCTGCGCAGCTGTCTATGTATAATGTATGCCGAGGTCGGGCGCCGGACCGCTGGACTCTGTGCGGGGTACAGAGGGAGGGGGAGGGGGAGGGGGACTGGGGTCCAAGGCCGCGCTCAGTGGCCCGGGATCGGGGAGCGGTATAGACTGTCTGCCACAGCAGCGGTGCACTCCATCACACTGACACCCAATCAGGGGGTCTTTCTCCGCGATATGAGAAGGTACAGCGCGGCCAGCGGTGCTCGGGACGGAACCGATGGACGATGGCGTGGAGTACCACGCGCCGCAACCGGCACTCTTGGGGGAGCAGTGGAATTACAGTGGTTTATGCTAGCAGTGCTTCCTCCACCGGACCTCACCGAAAACGTTAAGGCTAGTTATTATAGCTAAATATGACATTTCCCGACATAATGGCCCCTGGAGTATCTCTTATAATGCGGATCACACCTAGAAGATGCCGATCAGAGTCCTTGTTTGGGCCCTCGTCGGTGTGATGGGTGCCGCTGTTTTTGTCGCGCCGACAGACGCGCTGAATGTTACAGCTCCCGATAGACGTCTCAATGGTGCTCTTTGGCTCGGAAGCCGTTTCGCGTTTGGAATGTATTCCATGTCTTTTCTGAAACAAGCAGATTTGTGACGTTTTCGTACCTACTTCGTTTCTCCATTTTCGGGTTTCCGACTACAAGAGCAGTTTTGGACACTGGACAGTGGGACACTACTGGCTCAGTGAGACACCGTATATTCTAATACCATGACTCGGTTACCCGGCGGTGAAAGTCGCTCAGTCATGCTGTTCGACGTGCCACACCCTGTCTTCCTCTCTCTCGGCTCTCGGGCCTGTTTTCGTGCCGCCGGCCTCGTTGAGATGCGAGCTGAGCTGGTATGCAGTATGAAGTTCCCCTGAGTGGATATCGCTCTGTCTTGGCTAGAATGCTATTGGGATCTTTTGCTTCATTTGTTGTCCATTTTTTATAATCGTCTTGGTTTCCCTATCATTTTCTGTTCGTCTTGCAATATTCCTGGGGCGTTGTTTGGTCCCATCGTATCGCATTGTTACTATTGTAATTCCCTGAAAGGTAGACTGTCACCTTTTTTTCACTTGCCGGTTTTCGTAAGAGGTGCCCGCCCTCACCACAGATTTCCAGTCCATTTTCCCATATCCTCACCCTGTAACGCGGAATCGCCTCCCAAAGTCCCATTTGATGCCATCTTTTTCGGCGGTGAAAATGCTCATCACTAGGTTAATATCGCTAGCATGTATGACGCTTTTCATTACATTTTTGCATGGTAGAGATTCATTGTTATTTTTCTTGAATGTTGTGACGAATTTCGTAATACCAATATTAATATCAACAGCAAAGACGTACATTTAGCAAATTAATGTCGAAGGTTTCCTAGTATACTAGCATGAAGGTGGGCCTATCTCTTAACATTGTGAAGGATTTCATGGAAAGGAAAAACTTTGTCGATTTTCATTTTGAGCATTTTATATAATTTTCAAGAAAAAACTCGTTAAAAGGGTTTTATTTACCTTTTCTTATTCAAACATATTCAAATCAAAGGCGATAAATTGTTAATCAGCAAATTTGTGGTACAAGACAATACTTTTTTTACTTCAAGGGAAGTGGTAAAGGGAAGGCCTGCGGGCCAATCTCTTCAACACTAGTGAAGGTGGGAAGGTGAAGGAAAATGGTATTTCGTGAAGGGTTTTGATTTTCTACCACATTCTGAATGCTTCCAGTTCTGTATCAAACACGACGCGATAAAGTAGAAGACTTCTTTTTTGTGTATGAGATTGTTGTATCTGACAAGATTCTTACAGATAGTATCTGACACGTAAATGTGATGTTACTGGATTGGCGGTACTGAGATTAAACTAGTTCTCATTTGCTCGGTCCGTGTGGACTATTATTTATTGGTTTTCATGGTGGTGAATTGATATTTAACAGTGCTTGAACCTATTAAGTACCAAGTAAGTACAGCTGATTCTCAAAATGTGGCTGGTATTTGGCTTTAAATAAACATTTAACGCAACATGGTTATTACATTGGAAAGCCCGGACTAGATAAAATAAATGCTCTGCTGAATATGACCAGCGTAGTAGTGGGATTGCACCTGAAAATTCATTGCACATCTGGCGATCTGGCATAACATCCTCTCTAGAGCCGTCCGCAGGGGAAATCTGCTGCTAAATTGACCAGCATACCGACTAAATTTGGTGACAGGGCTTTCGCTAAAATAAAAAAATCTGCAGCCGCCCTGCGCCGTAAATTTCAGGTGCCAACATGCGCTGAATTCGGCGCATGTGAAGTTACGCCTGACATGCGCTGAAAGTTTTGGCGCAATCATGCCACTATGCAGGATATATTCAGCATAACGTGAATTTTTCCAGTCTGGAGCCAAATAGTAACATTAGCACTGAGAAATTAGGATGTTGTCAACATAACCATCAACATATTTGTCAATTTTAGTTACAATTTATCACTAGTGGGTACCTATTGTTATCATTTGGTAGGTACCTACATTGCATCCTAGCTTGCCATCATAGCAAACATGCAGATATCTAAAGAAATGTTTGTTGTTCCTTCTAAGCTGTTGAAATTTCTCCACAGTCAACACAATGCAGTATGCTGGGAGCACAAAATGAAGGCATCCGTGGAAGGAACAGCAATGCTGGGAGCAGGCGGTTCGCAGAAAGTGATCAGTAAGTTACCTGTGCATACTGCTGTTTTTATACAGGGAGGGGGTTAGAGTTTGAACATGTCTCAGCAAAATTATTGTATGAAAATTAAATGATATTTGAATGCTGATAATTATAGATACTTAAAAAATTAAAAAAATAGATAAAAAATAGATACTTAAAAATTAAGAAAAACTTCAAGTATACTTAAGCAAACAACAAATTTTGACGTGCCTTGACGTGCTGTTTCACTGGTGCTTTTCTTTTTTCTCTATCTTAATTGGATCAAAAGTTATAAACGAAAAACTTTTGACCTGTTTTTAGCAAAATTTTTACATTTATACCCCCCAAAACCCCCCTAAATATTGACCTAGAGCAACCAAATTTGCACAGGGGCGAGAACTCCAGGGGGCCCACCTACCTACCAAATTTGGTGTTTCTAGGTGCCATAGGAGCCAATCGCGAGGGGGGTCGCATCACCCCCCCCCCCTGCCAGGCCGTGTTATGAAAAATGTCCTGCCAGGGCGAGGGTTAATGTAGGAGCTATGCACACATAAAGCATGTGTTGTTTACAGCATGGTACTTCGGCTGCAAGCTTGAAATGGAACAGACTTTAGTCTTATCTGCATGTGGTAGCTCGAGCAGAGGTATTACATCTGCTTACGTGTCCCGTAGCAGCATTTTACACCTTGTCCTGCTCTCCCACAGAGTGCGCAAGCCACCAGCCAGCTGACGCAGAGCCTAGAGGGCGTTCGCCACCAACATCCGCACGGCGCAGCTGCAGAGGTGATTTCTGCCATGGAGCAGCATCCGCGGCTCCATGACATCATCCTTCCATCATTCTCCATCATCATTCCCGGAGCTCACCCGGCGACGCCCGCGCCCCGCCTGGCCGTCCAGCCTGCGCGCTCCGCCGCGCGCCGCGGGCCTGGCTCGCCGAGACGTCCGGCTTAGGTCGGCGTTTGAGGCGCGGCGGGGGGCAACGTCTCTGTGCCCTGCTCCGGGTCCCCGCCGCCTGCGGTCTCTTCTGCTGCCGCCACTGAGGGGAGCGGCTCTTCTTTGAAGACATCATCGGTCGACGGTGATGCTGGCGGGCCGGTGGCGGCGTGCCCCGTCGGCAGCGCGCCTCGGGAGGACGCTGGTGACGACGAATCTTCATCGCCGTCGGCACCGGTCACGAGCGAGTCGCTGTTTAGTTGGCCAGCTACTGTGCCAAAAAGTGCGACTGTGGCCAGACTGGTATACGATTTGTCAGTGCTTACGCCCCTCTTGCCGTGCCGGCCGTGCTCTTTGCCGTCTATTGGGGATGCGTTAGAGTTATCGTTTTGGGGTTTATACCGGTATCAAGATTGATTTAAAAGATGGATTTTATCACATTTCTCGCGCACGTTCCACACGTCCTTTTGGTGTTTTGTATGATGGTAAAACGTGCTTATACCTTTTCTCTGTTACCAATGGGCCATATTAGGTACTGCATCTCCTGCATTATTAGGTAGAGATGCAGTACCATTATTAGGTACTGCATTATTAGGTACTGAAGGAGATGCAGTTAGGTACTGCAGCAGTACCTAACAGATGCTTTCAGTGAACTTGTAGAGTCGAGATTTAACGTCAGGTGTGAGGTGTTTGGCGTATTTAGATTATTTTCTTTTTATGTCCAAGGACGCTGAATGGTATCGCTGCGTTTCTGACTAGTGTTGGGTTGTGTATTAATTTCAATAAATTAGTTCTCGTTCCGTCGCATGTTTCTACGTTTCTTGGTGTGTCGATTGACTTTGGGCGTGATTCTGCGCGTGTTCAGGATAATGCCTTGTCTTGTCACTATTGCGGGATGGCCGTGGTCCAAGCACAGTCGCTGTGACAGACGGTTCGATGTGTCGACCAATCATGTTGCTTCGTTTTGGCGCCTTGTGTGTTGTCCGGTCTGTCAAGACTCAGCTGGCTCAGTCTCGACTCTGGCTCTGGCTGGCTCAGTCTCAGTCTCATCAGAGAGCGAAAGGAGCTGCGCGCGCGGCTGCAGCAATTCATCGGCGGCGGCGCTGTGAACGCTGTGTCGGCGGCGCGCGAACAGGAGCTGATCGCGCTAAACGAGGACCGCCAGCAGCTTGTCCATCTGCAGCAGCTGGTGTTGCAGCTGATGGGCGGCCAGCAGCCGGCGGCGGTCGCTACCCCCCCCCCCCCGCCGGTCCTGTGTGCGGGGACCGCCGCGCCCGGCAGTGATGGAGGGTACTATGGCGGTGTTACATTCCTAACTGTTGTCACATATCAACTGAGAACCGTCCGGCCGGAGGCAGTTACCGCCGGCCGGCACCTACTCACCGTGGCCGTATTTTTTTATATGGAGAGAGGCGAGAGGAGAGAGAGGACATCAGGTTGTTAGAGAATATGTACAGTGTATATTTATTATTTGAATCGAGCGAGTCGCGTGTTCCACGAGCGGGACTTGGAGCAAAAAGCTGGCACTGAGATACAACGAACAGAACGTGGCGTCGAGCAGAAACGCTCCCGGCTATGTACACGGTGCTGCTGGGCGCGCGACCAACAAAACACGAGAATGCATCAACATCAAAGACACACGGTACATCAAAGCCCTCCGCGCCATCGCTGGGTCCGTCGGCACCGCTAGCGCTTCTACAAAACAAGCACGCACATAGAGACGCCATTTCCAAACGCACGCATACACAGAACAAAAACGCACATGCACGTCCATTCGTTTCACTCAGTCACCCATGAACGGCTTGGGTTTCCGGACGGTCACCAGCCGGCGGGGCCGCGCCGCGGCAATAGGCGTGAGTCTCCTCGTTGAGCTTGCTGAGCGCGCTGCCACCGGAGGCGGACGGGGCGCCGCCGGCCGCGCCGTCCTTCGCGTCACTCACCTCCACCTCGACCCCACTGTCGGAGTCCTCGGCGGCGGCGCGCCGGCGCAGCTGCTCGCAGATCTCCTCTGTGACGAAGGTGGCGCACTTGGGGTCGCGCATCAGCGGCGTGAACTCGAGCTCTGGCCGGCCCTGGTGCAGGCGAGGTAGTGCTCCGTCAGCGGCCGCGGCTGCACCACGGCAGCGCGCGATGCTCGCACAGCTCGCACTCACGCTCCACGGGAGCCGGCGCCGACTCCGGTCGCCGCCGCTTCACCGGCGTCGAGCTGGCCTGAGACGAGCCCTTTGCCGCACCGCCCGAGCCCGTGTGAGGGATGATTGTGAATTGTGATCTCGTTGTTGATTTTGATGGGCTGTCCGGTGGCGGCCGCCGCCGCAGCTGCCTTCCTACGGCCAAACGACTCCATAATCTTCTTGGCGACGACAGAGTGAGAGCTGTAGACGTCATTCTCGAACTGTTTGTATACATATGCGAATGTGGCCGTACAGACGGTGCACTTGTAGGGAAAGGTGCACCGGGTTCAGCATCACAAGGTGGTCCTTAAAGACGTGGTGCAGGAGCTTCCACTGGTACACCTGGCGCACACAGAGAAAACACGTCACCGGTAAATCCCAGTTTGAAGTGAAGGAAGATGTGCATGAAATCCTAGGACCAGACAACTCGCAGGGGGGAAGTCCACAAATGACGCAACATCACTAGGTACAACCTCGTATCGCACAGCAATGTAAAATCATTAACGGTACCTAATGGTCTCCCTAATAATCAGTGTACGTGTATCTCCAACCCGAGCCGCCTCCCACTATAAGATCAAGACTTGTACCATGTGTCCTAAGTATTAAGTAATTAGTTCACCTGTATCAAGTTCACCTAGCACCACTTTTCTGAAAGAAAAGTGGTTCATGTTTTAGTGCCATCTTTCATTATAGAAAGACAATGATGTTGAATGTGTTTTCTGATGAACCACAAAGTGAAAATCAGTGATTTATTGGTGCATTGTATTTAAGAATTCCTTTTGAATTATCATGAGCAGAGTTGAATACCTCCTTTTGCACTCTTTAGAAAATGAAGAGACTCACAAAATTAAAACATGATTAGAAAGAACACATCCTTAGAAATGTTTTGTGTACTAACCATATTTTTTTCACAAAACATTTATAACTTCCACCAAACCACACAATGAGTCAGGTGAGATTATCTTACATTAGGTAAGGTTAGGTAAGGTTAGATTAGGTTGTATTATTTCTGCTTGTAGTGTACCTGACTTTTCAAGGTAGGTACATGATAATTTTAATTGCAATAATCATTAAAGTATATATTGGCTAGCAACCTAGATAAAGGCTAGGCCACACATGGCAATTAAATAAATATTAACAATTGTTTCATACTTTCACATCACATCGTAAGAAACATTCAGTTATTTACCTTTGGGGCTCGGGCTGGGCGGTGGGTGAAAAGTTGAGAATTCTTCTTGCCCCTCGACCACCTCCTCTCCTCACCCGTCCTTGTCCTCTCCCTCGCTCACCAGGCATCTTCACCTGGAAGGTAGGCATACAGAAATGGGCCAGTCTGCAAAACGTGGCAGGTCTTGACAATATGTTGTCAGGGCACACACCACAGGTTGTGGCAGGTTTGAGGAATTTTGGGGCAGAAGCAAGGAAATCTGGGGCAGAAGTTGAAAGCTTGTCACAGCATTGATTCGTTTCGCTTCTCATACTTATTAAATGATGCACTTCATCATTATATCATTTTCATCATATTCATGAGGGGCCCTCATGAAAGGAATTGGGTTGCCCAGGTCTCGGCATTCCGCTTGGGGCAATGTTTTGACTGTCCCAAACATCTTGTCACGGATTGAGCTCCCTGCCACACTTTGAAGACTGGGAAATTGGTGCTGGAATGGAAACACTATCAGATTCATGACAATTTTTCCAATACCATAGGTATTTGTTATTCAAATAGCATTTGTCTCAACTTAGTCTATCACTATTCATATAAACCTGGAAATAGTATAGCTTTTAATATCACATGCCAAAATACATGTATATATATATATATATATATATATATATATATATATATATATATACCTATCAGATGAATCAGAATTGGAATATTTTAAGATATAGATAACATAACTCATTAAAACAGGCAATTCCAAAAGTGTAAACACGACATACATAACCAAACATTGTATATTTCAATTGTAACATGCGCGCCGTTTATGGCGACAAAACCCGCTTCCATATCTTATGACCTTGAAGTCTAGTGATGTGTCAACATTGTCGCTAGACATTATCCGATTGAAAATTTATGATAATCGATAATTTTTTTACGTGATTCACGTGATGATAGCTTGCCAGGTGAATTCTAAAATTTCGTTTTATCCAGGGAAAAAAATAATGGGCCGATCTGAGAAAACTTTTTGAAGGTGGCAGTCTTCCTTGAAGGGGTGGAGCCGGTCACTGCTGTCCCGACTGTCCCGCTGCGCGGGCCGTGACCGCCGGCTTCCCGCTGCGATCGTCACGGGAGTCCGTCACGGCCGGGCAGGCGTCACGAATGCTTGTCACGGTCTCGGCCTCACGCCGCTTGTCACGGACCTAGCTGTCACGGTGGCTCACACGGTCAATGTCACAGAGTGGGCCGGACGGGGAGAGGAGCGGACGGGTTTGGTGCGCCGGGGTCAGATGGAAGTGGAGATAGCTGACGGGACTGTGTGGTGTGGATGTGGAATTTTGTGCTGTAGCATTAAACATTTCTTAATTGCATTTGAAACTGGGCCAACGATCGCTTTGTCAAGCGTAGTTAATTTTTTACCGACCAGCCTATATTCAGACAATGCTGTTAAATACGCTATACATATTCGGACGACTCTCTCAGTATCCATTCGGGTCGTCGCTGTTGGTGCACAGTTTCCTGTGACGCCGGCGCTGCTGAGTACCGAGTGAGCAGCGGCGCGTGCATTCCGGGATTTCTGTGATACGGTCAGCTGTGCATGACTCATCGTTATTGCCTCCGTTTCTCTGCTGGCCATAGTCATGTAGTGGTCACTGGTCAGTGCTTCTGCCATGGGAGCGTGTAACTCAATACGAAAATGGAACGCTACTTCGTTTTGATTACCCTTACTATTTGCAACTCCTCTGTGATTAGAAAACTGATAATCTATTCCGCTGTAGAAACAAGTTTGGAACTTCCTTAGCCTGACTGCCATCGACCACTCCAGGCTAATCACATTCAGGCGGCGGCGACCCACCGGACTCTGGACCATTTCTGTCCAGTTTTTGCTTTCCCGTCCGTGCGTCAAACCGGTTCTCTTCGCCCCTCTATCGCACGTGCCCGATCGTCGCCGCTTCCTCCGACTGGCTTCAACCGGGAAGCATGTCGCCGTTTGGAGCTGTCATCATGATAGGTCACGCTTTGAGCCATGTCTCGCCACTGGTCACGTGCGGGTACCGCGGGGACCGCCACCGGCCACGGCTCTGCACCGTCACGTGGCGCCCATATGACACGTGTCAAGGTCGACGGTGACGCCTTTTTGTGCGGCCGGCTCGGAGCGCGGAGGGACGCGCGGCGCGGGACGTGAGGCGGTGGACTGGCACGCATGGCCCGCCTTTGGCAGGGGGCCGGGAACATGCCACACGTGTGGGGCGGGGAGGGGAGGGGTGGGCGTGGTCAGGACAGGCTCAGGTGGTTTGAGGGCGTGCCGGCCAGGCCACTGTTTGACCTAGATATACCGCCGGCGGCCACCGGCGCTGGTAACAGGTGCAGTCGACGGCACCAGCCATCGGCGCGGCATTCGAGGGGTTTGCTCATGACTCGGCCTCCACAGTCTCGTTTTGTTTGAATTCTTCAATTGTAAAGGTTAAGGTTCAACTGGTTGAGACTGAACCCTGACCACCAGTAAGCACACCAAAGACACATTTTCAGCTCCTGATCAACAGGTTGTCGCGGCACGCCCGGACGGCTGACCTGAGCCAGGGCAGGGGCAGGGGTGGGTGGGCGACGCCCTGGGTGACGACCTGTGCACACCCGGGGCGATCGATGACCCGTCGCGCCACTGGGCCCGCTGACGCCTGCACGGCGCCCATGGTCCCCGTTAAACGGCACTCCTGCCGGCGCCGCCCGTCCGACGCGCCGGTCTGTTCGTCGGCGCCGACGGCCCGTCGCGTCGGTCGGTGGCGGCGGTGGCAGTGTGGGCCGCCGGCGGTGGGCGGCGGTCGTGTGAGCGGCGTGTGCCGGCGGCGGCGGCGGCGGCGGGGCTCTCAGCCGGCGGTGTCCGACAGATAGTGCGCCGGCCGCTGCTCCCCTCGAGCGGCCCGATAATGTATCAGGTGGTGTGGCCAACATGCTGCCTGAGGCCCACTCAGGCTCGGGCCATGGCGCGCGACGGACGCAAGGGCTGGGAGGCGGTGCCCACGCGTGACCTGGGCTCCTACAGCGAGTCGCCGTCGGCCCGAAGGAGCGGGTTCGCCGCCTGCTGCTGCTCCTGTTTACCAGGTTGGTGTGGGTGCGCTGGGCTATAGTGTGCCGTCCGAGGCCGAGAGTGTGTCAGGTGGCGTCGAGTTCTTTCTTAGTCGCGTTTCGGAGTCGTGCGGTTCGATGGTGATCTTGACAGTGGACACTCAAAGGGTGTTTTTTTATAGAATGGTAGCTGATGAGGGCAGTCCTCCCTTGCAATGGCTCGGATTGGCGGTGCTTTCTAGGGCCACCGCCGGCTGCATCACGGGCACCTCTGGTTACCGGCCGGGCCGCGGTCCCGCCCAGGTGCTATTCTGGCGCACGGTCGCCTTGATCCACCCCCCAGCGGCCGGCCGGGGCGGGACGGCGCCAGCCAAACTCTGCCAGACAGGCACCGAGGCAGCCGGCCAGAACCGGTGCTAATCGGCCCAGACATTGCCGCCATCCCGTCCAGCGCGGTATATCCTGGCAGGAAGGCCGCCGAGGCGAGCCAGGTGCACACTGGACAGACGTTCAATCAGCATCCGGCGCGGTGGTCCAACCCCTGCTCAGACTGCAGGAGCGCCGAGCAGACACTCCCCGTCCCCGAGTCACGTGCCTTCCCGGCTGCACCAGCTCGTCCGGAGGCCGGCTGCGGCGGTGTTTTCGTCCCGCTCCGTGTCTGTTTCGTCGCCGGAGCGCCGGGGTGACGGTTGGAGGACCCCGGGCAGCGGGGTCTGTTTGTGTCGGGAACGGAACGAAGGTCGCGCGATAGCCTTGCCCGCTGTAATCGTCGCGAGTTTGTGCGGGGTGGGGGACTGGCGTTCTGCCTGAGGGTGATCCCAGGAAGGGTGGTTAGGGCAGACAAGCAGATCGGGTGAGGGGAGGGGAGTATTCCTGGACTTGGACTACAGATGGCGTAATGGGTTGGCTGTCTGGTGTGGGTTTGTAAACTCGAGTCAGCTGGGGCCTCAGCCGAGATGGGGACCGGCTGGTGTTTCTGGAAATAGAGGGGTGGTGTGCCGCACTGCGGATATGCGGTTGAGTTGGGGAAGGGAAGGGGTGACTTGTGTGTACCTTAGTCGTGTCAGTGGAGCTGGGGGAGGGGGAGAGGTGGCAGCTGGCGCCCACCCCCAATGGTGTGACGGTGGCGTCACATGAGTCACAGGGCGCCCCGGGCTCGCTCCCCGACCCCATTGATCAGTCAGCGGCGTTACACCATGGCTATTGAGTCACGGCCGAGCACACAGGTAATGGAGACGCCGAGTCACTGTAGTTCTCCAGAATCGCCGCGAGTGGGGCGAAACCTTGGCGGCGAGTCACACCGATTCCGCCGCACTCAGGCGGAATATGAGGAGCGTGGCGATTGAACTGCACTCGAATCCCATGCGAGTTCGTGTAGATATCGAGGTTGTAAGTGGTCTCGATTGCTGTGCATAATTTTAAGTGCTTACGGAATTTTTCCGAAATCAAAATTTGTCTGTTGATGAACTAGCTACTGACTGACACTTCAATGCCAACTGCCAGCTCATTATTCTCTCATTTCCCGCGCTGCCCTTATATGTAAACTACTTACAAATCTATCAGCCCGTTATACGCCCCAGGAACGTGTGTGCCGTTGGCAAAGCCGGTGTTCAGTAGGCGATCAGTTTCTGTCCGAGCGGGAAGTGTTTGACCAGTGATCACGTGCCAGGCTGCCAGGCTGGACGGTGTGAGTGGCCGATAGTGTTATCTGGTTAGTGTTATCTGGTCAGCACGACTAAGTGGGACACTGAGCGAAACGCCACTGCCCGAGGTCACGAACCTTCCCGGTAATCGGTCTGTAACTTTTTCTATGGACGCTCGTCGGCTGGACGTGTTACGCCGGTTCCATGAGGCCATTTCCGATGTCCTGAGTAAGTCAAACCAATCTAATTTTGTCAGTGGTAGCTGAAGCATGTTTCAGCGATTAGTACGGGGACCCGCAGTTGCTACTGTACACGAACCACAACTCTAACCGTCTGTCCTGTCCAGTAATAAGTGATAACATTGATATCGACTGCCCGTCCCTGTACAAGAGCAGCTGAGGTTTTCTGTGCGTGCCCTCTGACAGCTTGTTGTTCCCTGTGAGGGTGCTGGGACAATATACTCAGGGTCGCTGTACAGTAGCAACTGCGGGTCCCCGTACGATCTATCATTTTGCATCGTCATCTACGTAGTGACGTAACACGATTCCAATCCAGTCCATCGGTTCAGCTGAACGTCTGTAAGAATCGCTTCATAGCTTATGGCATTAAGAAAAACAGTGTTGAACTGTTGACCATAGACGTTGGTAGCCGTTCATGTTTACTGCGCAATTTAAACTGTTGTTATCCATAGCTCTACATTTGTAGGTGAATTCCAGGTCAGCACTGCCCTGCCCTACATTCATATTGCACCATTCCGCACAAATGGTTCATGACTGCCACTTGCCGCTGAGCTATGGCCCGCGTCATGATCGACTGTTACTCCTTCCGTCGTGGGGTGACGGCAACCGGCGATGACGTCACGGACAGTAACACGCCTCGTCGGTGTGTTTCAGTGTCCAGGTAACAAGGCAGCGCTTATGTGCTTTATGGGTTTACCCATTGACAAGACAGGCCTCAAGATGGAACGAATTGACTTGCTGGGGTCGCGTCTGGGGTCACGCATTTTTTTTACAAGATGTTGGCCCAGAGCTTTTTATTGACGATACCGCCACCTAATCATCAATCTACCAAAACTATAAGATCGAAGTGACCTTGATCTGTGCCCTATAGGGCCTACTCAGCCCATATCTGGCCCGTGCCGATGGGCTGTGAGTATTGGGTGTTGTGTTTGAGAGCCCCTGGCGCCGTGTTTGCGAGCCCCTGGTGGTGTGGTTGTGGGCACCGCTCCAAGGCACTTCATTAGCAGGTGGCTCTACGTCAATTCTGGTCATGTGCCAACCACAGACCCAGCATAACTCGCCGCTCATATCCCGTGCCGCCCCTGTAGCCGCCCCTTTCTAACTGATGCACAGTCAGTTCACCAAAGGCGTGTTTCACATCACTCCCTCTTGACATTGTGTTCTGTGAGTGTCCGTTGACTGACTGGATCTCCCCCGTTCTGTTGCAGGCTGTGCGCTCGTCAGTGGCCTTCTGTTCCTAGTGTTCGGTGTTCTCGTCGTAATATACATGCAAGCTCATGTCGACGCCTATATCAATAAGGTGAGTTCGCGTCCTAATGCTCATGTCCTTATACCACCACTCTTCTCTGAGTGTTCACCAGCCTGATCAGTTCACCAGCGCTGCTCAACAGGGCCAATTTGTCCGCCCCTTTGGCGGCCAATTTCGGGAACGATGATCGCGATGTATCTCATCGGCCCACATCCCGATATTATTTGACACATTCGTATAACACGATGTTTTAGCACCGTTCAGAACCGAGCGGGAACTGATATGTCACAAACAGATATATTGACGACTTGTGCTTGTTCGGATTTAAATGTGCATCACGTTTACAATGAAGGCTCTGCTTTATCCGAGTGTGTGAATATTGCCAATCTAAGCACTGCTGATAAATGAAGTTCGTTGTCTGAAGACAGCGGACGTTGTTCTTATTGTTTTTGTAACTAATATTTTCCGGGTAATGATGACTTCCTTCGCCATTGCCAGTGGCGCGTTAGATACCGGCGATAACACAATAGACATGGCTTCCGAGTGGCTGTCAGCCAGCGCGCTGGGATCTCGTCACACCGTGACGGCGCCGTGTGACGCACCTCGTTCCCATCTGTGACGCACCCCGTCACCTTCCGTGACGAACTCCGTCACCCTTCGTGATTCGCTAGAAGCGCGACCCTGGCCGCCGCGCCGGGCTGAGGCAAACTGTCTGCTCTGTCAGGAACCGGTACAAATGCAAGAGACGGCCGACAGCGGGGTGATGGGTCTGACTGGGGTTTATCATCGCACCATCTATCTTCACTTTATGGGAACTATCATCGCAACCTGCCTGATCCCCTTTGTGGACACATCATATCCTAGCCCTCCATCACATGACTACATAATGTGGAATGTGGATATCCCCAGGATAAATATGAATCGCTCCCGTGCGTTATGCCCATCCTTCTTCCCACTTCCCTTCTTTCCGTCCTGCCGTCTGGTCCTCAGACTAGTGACCGTGGTCTCCACTTAGGCGGCGCGGCCTGCTCTAGGTCGTCGCGGCCCGCCGCGGCCCGACCTCGGTGCCCACTGGTGCCTGGGAACCCGGCCGACCGTTGTGCAATGCGGCCCGCAGGCGCACTGTGGTGTGTACTGTACTGCGCACTGTCCCAGCACTGACCAGCTACTGCGCACGGCCCTGACGGTCATCGCGATCTTCAGAAGATCGGACTAAAATTCGGAGTCACGTTGGGTCCAGCTGGTCCAAGATTCTTACAGATAGAAAGATCAAGGGTTGACTTGAATGGTCAGGTCACGGGGAGTTTTATAGTCTTGATAGTTCGAGTTTATCATCGTTACAGGGTTTAAGACAGCTGTCACACTACGGAATAGCCGAAGAGACGAAACGTAATAGCCCAAGAGAGACGAAGTTTCGCAGAGTAGCAGGATTAACTTTCCCTTCATCCGCCCGCCGCACCTGTCCAAACCCGTGTTTGGTAACCGAACGTCCACCTTCCACACCTGCTCATTGTCCACACGTGTCCGTCCACCAAGTATCCACCCCCCACACCTGTCGACTAAGTGTCCACCTGTCCACGGTGTCCGTCCACACCTCAACTATCCAGCCGTGTCCGTCGATCCCGTGTGAGCACACAGCTCATTGCGTGGCCTCCCGGCCGGCCCCGTTTGGGTCAAGGTGAAGGTAGCCCAGTTGCAGGCATTCCCTGCATCTCGTGTACGCCGTACCAGACCGACTTGTCTGCCGTGCCGGCGGCGGTCCGCAGATTTTTCTCTCGACTTCGGGAACTGGTCCCTGATGAGAGACGGCCTCGGCCGTACGAACCGGCCGGCGGCCTCTGGGCTCGGACTGAGGCCACCGGCCGAATGAGAGACCTCTCTGGGCCGCGGTGACTGGCGCGGGCGGGGGCCGAGTAGCGGTGGGGACACACCCAGAGGAGTACGTGCGGCGCTCACTTTCTCCTCTCGGCGTGTTTGGGTGTTGGACCCGGCGGCACGGCGGCCTGTCGGCGGCTGGGTGGTGGTTGGACCGCTGGACGAGTCCGCCGAGAGAGCGCAGCTGGCGGATGGAACCGCGGCGCCGATGATAGATAGTGGTGTGGCTCTGATCTCATTTTTTTCGTCGTATCAGTATTCAGTATGCATCCGGTTAGAGGCCTGCTTGTCTTTATAATGTAGGATTCGGTCTAGGACCTAGTTTGAATTTTCCCGAGTATTCGTGGAGTAACTTATCCAAAGGCGATTCTCATTCATGGAAAGATCACTCTGCCGCCGATTGCCGATAAAGGGGTTGTGGGCGGGCGACCGTGGGATTGTGGTTAGCTACCCGGTCAATGGTGTGAAAATCCAGTCAATATCCCCCGGAGGGTGGTCGGTCGAGCAGGCATAGGTCAACGTAATCGTTTCGCGTGTTTTTTATTTGCAAACTTCTTTGAAGTAGTGGCACACATCTTTGTAAGTAAAGTTGATCATGTATCTGTTTCCTTGGCTTTGTGGTTTTAGGGGGTAGCAGGCGAGATTGCTATCAATGTAACCCAGATGTGCACGTTTTTGTGGCTTCCTCTGTTAATGAGAAAACTCAGTTTTGCGGTGCTCCGGGCTCGAAGCTGACCCTTGTGTGACCAATCTCCCGACGATCTGACCCGGACCTCAGGGCGCGGGAAAGATGCGAGACGGTTCCCCGCGCGGTCCAACTTCCGAGCTGTGGGACACGAACGTCAGGCTTGCATGACGGAGCCCAGCAGCGCCGGGATACCGGGGCAACGGCCCGACAGGTTGCGCTGTTCCCATGGCAGGTCTGGGAATTCTGAGCTGCTTTGATATGCAATCGCATCACGTGAACTTAAAAGGCAAAGGTGTGTTTTGGGCCGTGCGTGCTTTGTAGCTGCTTCCACCAATATGCAAGTCGACCGACATGCTAGTGGAATTTGAAGTCGTATGAACGCATTCTAGCCTGATTGATCGATTTGCAGGGTTCTGCTTTCGCCGCGGGACTGAGGAACACCCGCGAATTTGGGGGGCTCACTGAACAGTGAACATTGGACGGGCGGTGTGTTTAATGTTTATAGAAACGCTAGCGCAGGCTCGTTCTCGGTACAGTCAGCTCTGCATCGTTTAGTACAGCTCAGCAGCTGTCTGGTAAAGTTGAGCGACTAGTTACATTGATCGAGTCAGGCCAAACTCCGAGGTTCTCTCAGAAGTCAGAACCGTCCAAACTCGTGACTGCTAGCTGCTCAGTTCACGAAGCTGTGAACACAAGGGAGCACGGTGGCTGCACCCGTGCCGTGTGTTCTGTCCTGTTCGACTCTGCCTGCCGGTGCCGGGGCCGTCGCGAGCTCGTCACTCGGACGGGTACTTTCACCCTCACCATGTGAGAGAGTGGCGAACCGAGAGGCGCTGTCGGACACGGAGAGGTACTGGGCACGACCGTGGTGTTGGGGTAACCCAACCCTACCCAGCGACCTCAGCCCCATATGTCCGCTGTCTGTAGACGGACTGCTAATCGTCGGCTACCCCTACCATACACATTACACATGCATACACATGCATTTTCCCACTAGAAAAGTGGGAAGATGAAGTAAAAATAGGTGCGTCCGACAACACGCGTTCGGGAGAATACGGGATGACGTAGGTCGTTCGTAGCATGAGTTTTATCAGGATTGGAATCCCCTGGCATGTGTTTTTCAAAGTTGTGGTTGAAAATATCCCAGCATGTGTGGAGCGCTTGTTTCTTCCGAGTTGGCCGTTGGGGATTCGGGAAGTCCAACGCCACTGAGTCACCGGAGTCATCCCTGCCGTGGCACGCTGCTGAACTGACAGTCATGGTGCTCCAGTGCCTACCCATTGTGCTTGTTTGTCTCATCAGCTATCCCGCTGCCTGCACAGTGTTGTCTTCTGGTCACGCTCCTTGCAGCATCCTAGTCCCTAGCGCAGGGAGGGTGCTGCAACGGAGAACCCAGAGGGGTCCAGTTCACTGAGATACAGGTCAGCGACCCCTTGGCGGCCCTTGGGACACCAGGTGACACAGTGTGACCCCGAGTGACACTGCGTGACGTCACCTGCCAGTGTGTGACAGAGAGCCGAACACAAAGAAACACGGGTTCTTGACCTCACGGACCTATACATATACGTGTCTATTGATGTTTCGTGATGGTACGCGAGTCGCACCACCCGACTGTGCCAGGTGCCGTGTCTAGTGCTGCCAGATTCTGTCCGATGTACCGAGATGCTGCCATATCACACCCTCAGATTAGCCGGATATGGGTAAACCACATATGGGGATGAGATCTGGAGGCAGGGAGCAACACCGGCTTCTTATGGAAGATCGCCATAGTAGCCAATAGTCCGCTCTTAAAGGGACCCTCCCACCTTAACATTAGTTTTGAGTTGAGATAGCCAAGTTTGCGGCCAGGCTCAGAAACCACCATTTATCCTGGTCGCAACCCCCGCAGCTTTATGGTGTTCAAGAAATTTCTTCCCTTTACTTGCAGGGTGGGACCAGCTTGGTCCCTATCTCTTAACCATTACGGGAATCTGATGACGTCATCAGGCTTTCGAACGTCCGTTAAATGTTTGACTAAAACGTTTTGTAGCACGCGGTGGTATATGCTGCTTTGCGCGCAACAAATGCCGCACTTTCAAATAAAGTCGCTAGGAATAGCGGAGATCCCAAAAAGTAAACAAAAGTAAAAGTCTAATATCTTGAAAACCGGTGAATATTTTTCGATGAAATTTGGTAGATATTCGTTTTTGCTCTTTCTGAACCGAGCGACATCACTTTCATGCAAATTCATTAACTTTTTTGAAGGTGGGAGGGTCCCTTTAAATATTATCGATGGAGGGAGATAGTCCGCTCTTAAATTGGCATGATCGCGGTTTGAGGTTGACCGAGTAGGAGTGACATTAGCTTGCGTAACACATGGTCGGGAGTGGCCCGGATTTAAGCAGTTCTGACTTCTGTCTGGCTGTCCGGTTTTGTCCTGAACGATCCGGCTAGGACCGTCTGGACTGAAAACAATCTGTGAGACGGGCTCATGACGACGAATTTGTTTTGCTCGCGGCCAAACTGAGGCCTACAGGACAATGTCCTTCAGATTTCGATAGAATGCCTATAGCGCGTCATGGGCTGGAACAAGTGTCGGCGATGTCTGTGTAGGCAATCTAGCAACTGCTCCACTCGTGCCGGTGAGGACGGCAGAGAGCGATGGGTTGTTTAGAGACTGTTGCTTTACCCGTCATATGGACTCCTGCCACCTGATCAACCAGTGCCTCCTTGAAACTCTGTTTGCACCTCAGGCCTGTGTAACCGCCGAGCTCCTCCGACCACCCGTACACCCATCACACACAGTCACACGGTCCGTCCGCAGTCTTTACATATACATTCTACATTCCAGCCAGCGTTCCATGTGTTAGTTAGTGACCGTCTCCGGGCCGGGCCCCAGTCGCCGGGCGGTGGCCAGCCAGACACCCATACATCGTCAGCGCTCGCGAGCGGCACTGCTGTTTGGATTAGATATCGTCTGTATGAAGGGCTGACCTTGTACGATCTTCTTGATTTATCAGGATTTTTTTGTTATCTGTGGGTAAAAAAGGCCCGCAGACCGCAGCCTGTTGCTTGTTCCGGGCCTGGCGGTGCGGCGCTGCCTGCCTCCCTTTGCCACTGCGAACCCGCCTGGCTCGCGCACCCTCCTCCTGGCTCCCCTCGCCCTTTCTCTCTCTCTCTATCCCACACCTGCCTGACGTCCGCCGGAGGCCCATGACCCTCCCTCCTCTAATTATGACGTCACGGAGTGTGTGTATGACGTCACCGGTGGCGTGGTGGCGCCGCCGCCGCCGGCTGCGGCCCGCAGTCGATATTCGGCTGAACCGGGGCGGCCGCTTTGTGTGCGCCGCCCGGCCGACGTCCCCCCACACCTCCCCGCCCCTCCTTCCGGAGCACGTGTGCAGCTCGATTGTGGCCGCCCCCGCCCCCGCCCCCGCCCTAGCTCCACAGCCCCTCTCCCATGGGCGGCGCGGTTGTCGCGCCTCAAAGGGAGAGATATCCGGCTTACTAGGCCAGTGGGTTGTAGGCGGGCCAGAGGCGGCCTCAGCTATGGGCGCGGGGTGGGGCAGATGTCAATGAAATAATATCGCATCAGACCTGTTTGCTCCCTTCGTCTGTTGTTTCTACCCTGTGACGATACTACCTACTGTCGTGTAACAGACAACAACGCTCTGTCGCCTGTGTGGCTATCTCTATTTAGAATCTCGCCCGATGCATTGTAGCTGACGATTTTCTTTCTGTGTTTCAGTTGTTAGCGTTCAGTGAAGACTCGCCCACGTATCATGCGTGGAAGGAGCCGCCAGTAGCCATTAAGACAAAGTTGTATTTTTTCAACCTCACCAATAAAGAAGAGTTCCTGGCAGGTACTGCGAAACCCAGGTTGCAAGAAGTCGGACCATATGTGCTCGGGTGAGTACAAATAGTCATTATGCGTTGTTTTTAGGTTTGTTACGATCCTCAATCGCTTTGAAAGTGAAGTCACGATGACATGCATGTAGTGAATGCACTGCTTCCGTGCTAACCAACTACTCGCCTGCATAATTCATTAGGTGATTTCCAGTTCCAGTGTCGCGTCCTTGAACTCTGCAGAGTGCAATGTGCAGAATACTTCCAAGACGTGTCAGTTAGGAGCAATGCTTCATAGAATCACTACCGTGAAGATTTATTGTGCCGAGTGCTGCTTGTGGGCTTTGACAGCTTAATTATTTGCATACATATCAACTGGCTTTGCAGCTGATATAAATTGTTTATCGCATGTATTCACGCATTACCTATTTGCAAGTACATAAATATGCTTATGTAATGCGTACAAACATGCATACCTTCAGACGAGCATAGCATTGCTCGTCTTCTCTCTTCATGTTGAGGGAATGTGAATGCGCTTTAACCCATTAGCTACGCTTGGCAGCTTTTGCTGCCACAGGACAAAATAGCGCCGCATTCCTAAACGTTGCGGTGAACTTTCAAAGTTCTCACCCGAACGGAAGACCAAAACAATGCACGTCATGTGCGCTCCGAATTATTGATCGAGAAAGCGAATGTGCTGAGAAATAAACAATTTATCGCGGGGGTGCAAGGGGCGCGCGATGGCGGCCGTGCGGCGGACACCAAAGAAGTCAGTTGCGAAGGTGGTGTGAATAAATGTTACCTTTTTATTATTGATTATTGTAAGGAAATGTGTGATTATCAATGGGAAGAGCTTAGGTGCGACAAGAATTTCTCTAAGTATCGCCAATCTTGCGTTATATTTAAGTGGCAGCAAAAGCTGCCAACCGTATCTTACGTAGTCAAAAATGGAGCAGTTACGTCCTTTTTGCTATGCCATTCGTAAGTGAGCAACAATGTCTGGCTTTATGGCTCATAGTGTAATGCCCCAGTTCTTTGCCTTTCCAAAAATGGTCATTACCGGGGTTTCTGCTATTTATTCTTGTCTGCAGAGCATTGCATACCAACACACTACCAGGCGTGTAATGTATTCCGCCATTGCTGAAGCAGGGACGTTGAACGGATTGGTGCGGACAAACTGTCATCAGAGGCGCCATCCCTCAAGGGGCGCGCCGCCGCCTAAGGGAAGGTGGTGCCGTGGCTCTATAGATGAACGGGAAGAGGGGCGCCTGCTAGGCCTGTTGGGGTGCCTTTGAGCCCTAACTATGGGGTCGCCCCCGCCCCCCGCCCCGCTCCCGCCCCCCATGCAAAAGAGGGGCGCCTACGAAGGTCATGGCCATAATGGCGCATCTGCAAGAAAGAGGGGCGCCTGCATGCCGAAGAGGGGCGCCTATGAAGCCCAATGGGGCGCCTCTACGAGAAAGAGGGACACCTGTAAGGTCTATAGGGTTTGCATGTAATGTCCATAGGGCACCTTTATGCGAAAGAGGGGCGCATTGCATATGAAAAAGAGGCGCATTGCACAAGAAAGAGGGGCGCCTCTGAGACCTATAGGGGCGCCTTTGATGACCAAATGTGCGCTTACATGGGAAAGAGGGGTGCCTATAAAGCTTAAAGGGACGTCCTCCATGTGAAAAAGGGGCGCCTGGGACTTGAGCGCCCTTCCGAGCTGTCCGAGGTCGCCGGAAAGTTTGTATATGTCCAGCTCCTGCTGCACTATCCTCCAAAATAATTCGATTGGATTTAGGCCAGGACTGTTCCCTAGCCAAGTGTCCTTCCCCTAGATATCGGACAGATGGTCCTGGCACCGCGTAGTTCCGGAAGATCGATGAGATGGAGTACCGTCCAGCATGAAAATGCTGTCCGACCTGCGGGACACCATGCGTTGTTGGAGCACGGGGTAGTGGTCTTTTAATGCCAAATGCACGCTTTTTCAGTATGTTTTCTAGGTAGTAGTCGGGATCGACTTCGTCTTTTGCTAGATCACGTCCAGCTGGTTCAGCTCAGGCCCTGCTAGGACATCGTAATCGTTCGATATACCAATGCGGCGAGAATTTTTCGCAGAAGTCTGTCGGAACTTGGGCCGCATTTTTAGCCCATGCTCGTTTTAGGGGTCCGTGTGGTGAAACCATTGAAACGGAGACTCGTCGCCGAACTAGACCCGCTTCTACATACCTACTCCGTTTCCACTCTTCTACCGGCCAGATTCTCCGTTTCGTGCAAATCTGAGAGCTCTGGGCTTGCTGATTTTCGTTATTTTGGCCGCACCAATAGTCACGCGCCTTCAGTCCAAGGGCGTTCCTCTCTTGTCAATGGACAACATTATCCGAGTGATCATTATCTTCCATGTGTTGCCACTTGCCATCTTGGAGCATGCCAACAGCGCAACTACGAACCTCTCAACTGTAAAGCTAAACCTTCATGCTTAGACGTTCAGTAAATGCGCCGTTCAATGGTTAAAAAATTACCCATGCCAGTGACCCCCATTGGTAAAGGTCAGCTTTTCAAATAATCTCCGCTTCAGAGAAAGACTCAGGGACACAATTCGTTGAAAGGAACACGATATTTAGGAGCACATTGGAAACACGCCAAGTTGCTTTAAATAAACGGTCGACGGAAGTCATCAAAACCTTCGTCGCATCCTATATAAGATTTTGTGGGGAGGGGAAGCGCGTGTGAGCTGAAATAATGAGAGAAAGAACATGATCTCTCAGAACGAGCTGAACTGTTAGCTGAGGTCTGGATTTTGAGTTCATTATTCTTGAGAATTATTGGCTACGGTCGTTATTTGCAGGCTACGATCGAATGGAAATCCGAACAATTACACATATTCAAGATCATATCTGGTACGTAAATAAAATAGTTCGTGAAAATTGTACATGCACCAAGAGGAGACACTCTGTGGCAAAGGTTGTTGGTATCGAAAGATCATTTCCTCGCGGTTTTGATATGTTTGTGCTTTGAAATGTGGCAAACCACTCCATTTTTGACTATGTAAGATACGCTTGGCAGCAAAAGCTGCCAGACCGGAAACGTACACTTCCGGTTTCGTGATCTGGCTAAAAATGCACATGTATTCTCCTAAAGGGTGCCTGACAAACATATGTTAAAATCGCAGTGAAAGTCGACAAAAAAAGTTTTCGGCTCTAATGGGTTAAATGCAAATTTAAGCTGTGCAGAAGACGAAGTGTTCAATGATTTAAACGTTGTATTTCCCAGTGTTCAGTTTCGATGTCTCCCAGTACGGATAAGTGTCTCTGTGTTTATTTCGGAACTTCTTCAGCGCCCCCAACTAACGACACAGCCACCTTTTTGTGGCTGAGATCGCTGCCGATACGTCCTATCAGCTGTCCTGTTGGCGTATCGAGACTGCCTCTCTGAAGGAAGCAGCGGCGTCTCTGTCCACATTCACGAGACCACCGGACTGGACTTTGACACTGAGATAGGCGTCGGAGGCTCGCTACTATCTACAGACGCACTTCAGATGTGTGTAGTGTGAATGGGGCGGTGTTAGGGGGCGACTATCTGTGTCTTCCTCGTGACATCGTCTGTGCCTATCTTCACTGCAGCTGTGGGCCGCGTTGTGAAGACTGAACGGAAGACTTGACGGATTTCTGATCGCATTACATCCCACATCAACGTTATTTGTCATGTAAATACTCGAGATAGATTGTTCCTACTGTTTCGTGTAAAATCAACTGGATGTTTCTCTTCCATTGCCCTCCTTCTGGCAGGTGTCCCTGCTGCAAATGCTCTAGTGGTTCGTAGCTAGGCGAACGGCGCGATTCGGTCCCCCCGGACGGGTCTGTTGGGTCATGTACAGGGTGTCTCAAAAGTTCGTTCACACATTTCCCATGCCAATAAAGCATATAAGAACCGGCCAAAAGTATAAGGTTTTGGTGTCTGTGTGTACACTAGACAAATATGCATGCTTTGACAACTGATTAAGAAGGTTGGAAACCAACCCCTTTGCTGTATCTCCAAAAATATTTTCCCATACCGATTTTTGTTGCTCCGTCAGCTGCCGGAGGCTGATAAAAGGTTACCAGCTTTCAAGCTCTTGCAGGGGAATCCCCTGCAGTTTCTGCGTCGGATTTAGTTTTGACTAGCTCCCCGGCAACATCTGATTTTCCCTGAAAGCCGACAGCTTGCATCGACACCATTCTTGAGTATTTTGTAGGCATTCTCTGGCGCTAACTCCTTCATGAATGACTGGCGCCGACATCCCAAGCGCCATTTTCCTTTTCAAAACGACCCCAGTCCTGAACAAACGGAAAGTACCAGGAGTAAATTTTTCGCATCATATGGTAGCAGAATGTGTCGGACGTCTGTTTCTCAGACACATTGTGCAAATTTTGCAAATTCCAAGCGCTCGTCATTCCCCATGCCAAGACCTTCGCTCGGTTGCGGAGTGTTTTCCTCGGGAGATGTTCTGCTTTGTAAACGGCCCAAACCTGTCCATCGTGTGGTTTTATCGGGATTTTGTGTTTAAAAGAAAATTATTCGCTGCAGATCTGCCTCTTGAAACTTCGCTAGATAAAATTTTACAATAACTGATACTTTTGGAGGGTCAGGTGTCCTTGGCATTGACGATTTTTGTGTTATTGTCCCCAAAAATTAGCGTTATAGATATTATAAACAATTTTAAATTATAATTTGTCTTTATTTTACGATGACCTGCACTTTTTGAAAATGGGTAACCTCTGTCTGTGACCTTCTTGCCAGTTTTCAATAGTTATGACCGCATTTTCAGCTGCTTTCCGGAACACGAGTCTGCTGTTGTGCGAGGGTCGTTCAAAACGCCGTTAGTCTCGCATGGTTTCGTCCTTCAAAAATTTTAGCCACCGTTTTTATGAGATGATCATCATGTTGCACTCATCCTCGCCGACACTTAGCCATGTGTCATTTCCGACTTAACCATTCCCATTACTCCTGAAACAGAGAGTTTCACAACATACCCGACTTTGCAACCTACATTTTCGTGCCTGACCCATGGTCAGAGGTGAACCCTTTTTGTGAGCTCATGAAGGGTCGAATGCACTTGAAAACAATGAGGCTGCTTGAGGAAGGTTGTCACCAATGCCCATGCAAAACTTCGACTGTTAATTTCTTGTTGATTCAGAATTATTGACAAAAAAGCATGGCTGGTACCTGTGAACGAACTTTTGAGACACCCTGTACCCTCTGCCGGTCTACCCAGCTCCATGAGGTGATAGACCCAGACACCCTGGGTTCAGACGTGACCTAGGTGGCGGCGAACCCTTCTCCAACCTGTTACCGGGTATAAGGACGGACGAACGGACGGCGTGCCGGACGGTGGTGCAGGGGACGTACTGGTCTACGGTACTGGAAACCAAATGATATCTACCGTACCTAGATCGTGATATAGAGAAAGGACAGACAGACGTGCTAAGGTTAAATGACGCAACAGATCGCTGTTTTGTTGGCGACCGTGTCTGTCTCTCATCCAAGTGTGACCGTCTCTCCCCAATGTGTTTTCAGTGAGAAGTGGGACCGGAAGAATGTCACGTTCCACCCTAACGGCACGCTGTCCTCCCAGCTGGCCAAGACGCTGTACCTCATCGAGGAGGAGTCAGTCGGACCTGAGACGGACCTCATCACCACACTCAACGTGCCCATGATCGTACGTACGGAGAGGTGGAGGAAGGAGTTTGTCGCGAGAGTCTGACGGTTTTACCGGGGGCATGCGTATTAAGGGTGCGTTTGAAGAACAGTAGCTATTCACTGTGCCGCATTATTTAGAACTCTCGCCAAGCTCGGCAGAGGGGGGGACAACTTTCACTAAAGCACTGCATTATCACGCCATCATGAAGCTCTCTTGGTTCGGTGAAGTTTTCTGGATGGGAGATAAGACGCCAGAGTTCTGGGGCGTCGGGACGTTGAGTTCTGTGAAGTCCTCCAGTCGCCCACCGCCCTCTGGCTGGTTCTCTGTAACTGAGGCCAGTCTGCCCGTCCTTTGTGTGTGTCCGCTCGCGCTGCAACGATGCGGCTGCGCACTTGTCCGCCATTGTCGTCCAATCAGTGCGTAAACTGCCGGTACGTTTTTGTCCGGTGCCGCTCAACAAGAGCTAAGGGCTAACGGGACGCGTGCTGGCTGCAAAACAGGCTGGCAACGGCCGCAGGATTTGACGGCAGTCTCAACCTGTGGTGGATGGAGGCACCAGATGACGCTTTTGGTTGTAGCTTAACGTAATATGTCATAACTTGTGCTCAAATAATTGAAATCGGCCATTTGATGGTAGTCTTGTCCTGTTTTTCTTCTTTTTTCGCCCCTTCCCTTTATTATTTTTTATCGCCTCCCTCCCCAACCCTCTCTCACACCTTTCTGGAGGTTTCTGGCCATTCAGCCCATCCCCTCTGTATATGTCCGTCGCTCTAACATCCCGTCCCCGTTTTTCAGTCAGCGGCGGCCAAGGTGCGATACGAGAAGGACACGATGCGCCAGACCACCTCCGGTCTGCTCGAGGTGCTCGAGGAGTACCCCATCATCGTGCGCTCGGTGCACGAGCTCGTCTTTGGCTACCCCGACCCGCTGGTCAAGCTGGCCAAAAACGTGCAGCCGCCCGGCCAGAGCCTGCCCTACGAGAGCTTCGGCTACTTCGTCGGGGTGAGTTGGCGATGGACCGGTGGAGATTATAGAGGGAGGGACCGCCTAGGGAAACTATTTTTGGTTCGTCTGTATCTTTATTTTAGGGCACTGCGGTAGCCAGTTGTTCAAAAGAAAGCCATAAGTCGATGATGCTGCGTGATTTTCATTCAAAGGCCTTTATAACACCATCTAAACGTCTCCCATTAATCTTAGGCTTAGCGAGATTTAGACCATTGTCCCGATGAATAGCACAACACAGGGCTGAATGGTGTCTCGGACTGGCGTTTTCGGTATAATAAGCAGCTCTGTATTAGTTCGGACAGTTTCTCTGGAGCTTAGGACCGAATTAACTGCACCACAATGCCACATTAATGGGCTCGCAAAGGAGCAGCTGAAATCGGACGACGTTCCCTGGAATGCAGTTGCCTTCTATTTCTTTGGTTATTTTTGTTATGCAGCAGAATCTCCCTAGACCCTCGAAATTTTCGATTGTGCTTCATTTCGCCATATGTCCTGAGCAAAGGGCGATTCTTTAATCTTATCTAGGCATGCGGCATTACTTCATCAGCGTGCGTAGTTGTACGCTATTTGTTACGATGTTCGGAAATTGTCCTTTGTCGCGATAACATCCAGATGCTTGATAAGCTTGATAAGCTGGCTCTTGGGCTACATGTTAACTGTTGTGTAAGGCCTTATTGCAACCCCATCATCAATTTATCACGCTCATCAAACAAACTAGACGTTGCACTCAAATTTACTCCGAAAGCCGAATTGATCTTGCTGTAGGTCATTTCCACCCGATGGCCACCTTTTTCCACTCGGTGACACTCTGTGATTCAGTCGCCGCCTCGATAAATCAGAGCGGCCCTCGCGGGTTTCCGGGCGGTCTCCATCCGTCTACGAACTGAAGCCCTGTTGGCGTTTTTACGGCCGGATCTCGGCCCCTAATAGTCGGAGTGGTGCTCCTGTGACCGGGGCGGTGACACCGTTAGGGGCGACACCGGCTCCCCGGCGGCGGGGACTCGTCGGATGGGGTCGAGGCATTCGATGGACTTTGAGATTCATTCTTGGCTTGGTAATGGGTAGTGGTTGGTCTGAGGTCGTCTTTGGGATGACTTTTTGTACAGTTCCGTTGTTCGGTGGCGTCTGCTGTGCCCCCTTCTGTGTACCGTTTGAATGGTGCTGATTAATATAAAATGGGCTCAGGACCGTTTAATCAGGCGCTATAACGTTGCGTCATAGTTCTGATAGTCGCTGCGTTATGTAACTGAATATTGCAAACGCACGCTGCCGCCGACTAATAAGTAGCTTATACGCATCGAGCGAATGGCCCGATCCGTTACTGCAACATCGTTAGCACGCGATTCACTGTGTAACGATCGTTTCATCCTCTGGTGCAAACAATCGTTTGCAGTGTGGCGATGACGGTCCCCTCTCCCCATACCCTCCCCCGTCCGCTCTGTCCCCTGCGGTCCGAGGTCGGCTTTGTGCCCTGACAGTCCCCGGGGCGTCGATCTTTGTCCTCTGCGGCCCGCCTCTGCGCAGTGGGTCGAAGCCGACTGAACGATCCGTGCACTATCTGTGCATCGTCCGTGCACCATATGTGCACCATCACTCATCGGGTCTGTGTCTCAGTGAGTTAGACTGCAGCGATCCGTAATTGATGACAGACTGACGATCCTCGGCACTTTAACCCTTACCGGACAGTGTAGAGCCAACCCACGTGTCAGAGGGATCAGTATGAGTGGGGAGGGGTCCGCCCGGTATAACAGCGGCGCAGGCTGACAGGGAAGTGACGTCGGAAGTTGGCGTCAGCCGGTCCCAACTGTCACCGTCGAAAACAGACCCGTCGCGTCCGCTGATGCTACTTTCGAAACCGCGACCGCACGATGCCGTGATAGTATGCGTGACAATGTGAACGTCGGGCAGCGGGACCGAGAGCGAACTCGGCCGCGATTAGCTGAAGATTATTATCGTTTGCTGAATGCATGAGTGAATTCCGGTGTAATTTGTGGAAATCGATAGAGCACAATTTGGATTATTTTTTTTTTCGTATGTTAGCTACCCTGGCAACTACCTAGTCTTCTGCAGCACATTTGGCTTGGTGTTTATGCCAGATGCCATTTCGAATAAACTTCAAACCCTGATGGCCCGATGGGTTTGAAAAATTCTTTCATCAAACTTCAAACCCGTATCATAACGTGATTCAATGCACATCACTCGACTCAGCGACCCGGCTGTTACGACTGTTGTGCCGTGTTGCATGTGACCCGCGTCAGCGGGCGGAAGCGTTTGGTGCAGCAGTTGTCTGGGGAGCCGCGCTAAACACAGCCGATTTGCAGCGGTTTTTCAGGATACTAGATGGCACAGTCCTGCAGTGTGCAGTCCGGGTCTTTCCCTCTTCAGTCCAGGGGTTTGTTTGTTGCCGCCTCTCCGATGCATTACATCCCGTGGAGCTCAACCGTCTGCAAACGGCGGTGACTTGCCGTTTCTGATGCGTATATCGGAGGGGGGGGGGGGGGAGAGGGGCTGTCGCGACCTTCGCACGGCACGGTGCATCTGCTTAGCGAGTCGTTGCAAGGAGGAGCCACTGACTGCCTCCTGCTAGAATAGCACAGTGTCAATCGCGAATTCATTTGCATCAGCGGTCACTGTCGCTGCTTGCAAAGGCTTTGGACTATGTATTATCTGAAAGAAAACGTCGTAGGACTGTTAAGTTTAACTTTTGCACAAAAACCGCCTCCGGTGTGTCAGGCTGGGTTTTTCTGAGCTATCTGAACCGTCGGTTAGTGACTTATGACCATCTCTCCTCCGAAAACTCTATAAGCTCTATCCGCTCATTTAGGCACATATCCCCAGAATTATTCTGGCTCATCAGCAGCATTTCGGCGCCACTTTGCCTCACTGACGAACCGCAAAAAGGCGACTTCCGGCCAGCCGACAAATATTGATTGGATCCGGTTCGCGGTAAGGGTCATGGTACATAATCATAAACACTCCACGGCGGGCGGGACCGGCCAGAGCACTGGTCCTCTCTGACTGGGTCCAGCGGTCAGCGCTCTTTGGTCGGTGGTTGGGGTCGCTAAGGTGATATCAGCACCTCAGGGTGGCCCGAAGAGCGTGCTCAGAGCTTTTAACAGATGACTTAGGTGCTGATCTGTCTGCTGGGATCGGTTTTTATATTGGACCTTGTGTGTTTTTTTTTTCTTGACCGCGATGAGCCGGCGACAGAACTTTGAACCTTGATATGGCCCCTCTGTCATATGACTGTGGTATGGTGAGGACGGCGGCTGTTGGGACGGAATCCGGAGTCGGGCGGACGGCGGCGGTCTCGTGGGGCGGACCGCAGTGGTCTCGTGGGGCGGACAGCGGCGGTCTCGTGGGGAGAACCGCGGCGGTCCCGTGACAGAGACCGCGGCGGTCTCGTGATGCTTGCAGTTCTGATTCAGAGTCAGTGTTTATAGTCTTGCACTGATCTGTCGGGATCTTCTCAGTCATCCAATGCATTTAGCTCAGCGGCGTTTTGCCTTTTTACCGTCTACTGATCTCACTGCATTGAGGTAGCTACAAAGTAGCCTACATTTCGCACATCAGTGAGACCGCGCGGTACCCTCTTATAAGAGGGCAAACACGACAACTCTCGGCGAACGGTATACCGTTCGCCGAGAGTTGTCCTGTTTGCCCTCCGACCCCGCCCGGGGCGCAGCCGGCCCCGGCGACGCTGACACCCGAGGACCGTGTACTGATAGCTCGGCCCGCTCGGCTGGCAGCTGAGGGCCTTCAAGTGGTCGCTCTTGATGACCTGTTACCGGGGGATTAGGTTCAAGGTCACCCCAGACTCAGACAGGATATGAGACTTAGCGCGGTGCTTCGCAGAAACTGGCGGTGCTGGGGGGTTTCGCTGGAGCTCTAAAGCCTAAAGCTATAACGCTGATTTAAAAGCCATTATCTTCTTTTGTGACATTGTCTCGATGTGCTGTTTGCACTCTTTCTAGTTTCATAGTCTACTCCCTACGAACTTATGAATTGAACGGAAGCGTATTTTAATTTGTGGCTGTAACGTTAGGTAGGCTGGTGACTCGCTCGTTCTTTCATTCCGCTCGGCTGTGCGTGGCCGGCGCGTCGAGCCACGAAATGCTGTTCCACGGGGCGCCCTCGTCAGGGTCTGGGTCTCATTACGGGTTATGAACGGAGGCCAAGGCCAGGGTCAGGGTCATGACGACGCGAAGCCCATGGCCGACCCACAGACGAAAGCAGGGCCGACCAAAGGCTGATGTCGATGCTTGTTGATGCTAGGACCAGGGAGTGGTTTTGTCTTGTGATAGACAGACAGACAGACAGACAAAACTTTATTCCAGACCATACTGGTCCATAAAAAACCCTTCACATCATAAAAAAACACACACAAACACACATGCTAAAAAAAGACACACACTGCAGCCTAAACACAGGGGAGTCAGGTGACATCCATGTCTGCCCTTGTATACAGCCTTCCCAGCCATGACCTCCTGATCCTTGACTGGTACCTCAAACTGCTCAAACATATAGCTGCCATGATACCGTTATTGCTCAGATCAACCCTTTTCATGAATTTATATATTAAGCCTCTAATGACAGCCTCACATGAGGGTACTCTAAAGTATGCACAGGTAGCACTGGTACTCTCAAACTTTGATAGCCCTAAGGTCCTTTTAAGAAGGTTATGATAACTAGTGACAAACCTCTTCATAGTTCCCTTTTTGAAACACCACCACAACTGCGAACAATACATAGGCTTACAATGAGCATTAAACAATTTCATCTTTACATCAGTACTACACATGTGAAACTTCCTCAACATTGCGTTCCCTTGGCGAAGCAAGACACGAGTCTGATTCTCTATGTGTGCATCATCGGACAAGTTATCAGTTATGTAGTGACCTAAGTACTTAACTCGATCTACATTGGCAACCGGCACCCCTCCCACATAAAAGTCTCGTTTTCGTACATTCCGCAGAAAATCTGAACTACAGCACATT